CATTCTTTACCTCTTTTGAATTGATCTTTTGTTGTTGTTATTTGTTTGATTTTAGGATTCCATTTCAATTCTATTAACTTAGCAGCTATACCTCTCATTTTTCTGTGTTTGTTGTATGTTTGTGCAGAGGAGATACTGTTCATGATGTAACTGCTGCCAGGTCCACAAGCTGGACCCGGCCAGAAGGGAGATTGCTTACTGCACCCTCCCACTTTACAGACTTTCTGAATGTAATTGATATTCAGACTGATATAAATCAGCACCCCTGTCCTACCTTCTGCAATGTGCTGGTTTCTGGAACAGGTCATTGTTCTTTACCTGGTCAAGCAGTTGAAGCATTTACCATTACCTGGGACTAGTCACTTACCAGTATCTGTGACTATACCATCTTCTATATAATTATGTGGCACCTACCAAGGGACATGGGGATCCATTCCATCTTGCAGCTACCCAAGATATGCCTGGTATGTAAGTTTTCTTTAATAAACTATTAAATTGCCAGACTGGAGTGGCCAACCTCTTTCTTCGGTCTTTTCCTGCCCTCAGTGTATGGAGATTGGTTTTCAGTCCAGGGACCTTTCCTTGGGTCTACATGTACTGACAGCTTGCAATATGCATTGTTAACTATCACAGCCTATCTTCAAATAACATTATACTATTTTATAAATTGACACTCTTACAATAGTATTCTTCTATTTCCCCCTGCCATCCCATATATTAATGCTGTTTACATATATGTATGGTATATACATAATTGTTACCATTTTTGCTTTATACACTTACAAATTAATAATGGGAATAAAAGGCTTTTATAGTTACACACAGATTTACCATTTCTGTCATTTTCTTTTCTTTTTATAGATTGAAGAGTCCATTTTGTATCCCTTTGCCTGAAGAATTTTTTGTACTATAATTCAGCTGGCAATGAATAGTTGTGGTTTTTTTGCTTTTATGAAAATCTTTATTTCACCTTTTTTGAAAGGTGTTTTCATTTGTACTGAATTCTAAGTTGACTTTCTTAAATTTTTTAAATTAATTTATTTTTGTTACAGATGTTTCTCCTTTTTCCCCCACTGACACCCTCCTCCTAATCCCCCCCCCAACCCCTAGCATTGTCTATGTCCATGGTTACGCATACATGCATATAAGTTCTGTGGTTTATCTCCCCCTCTCTTTTCTGAGGTTTGTCGGTCTGTATCCTACTTCTATGTCTCTGGGTCTATTTTGTTCATCAGCTTGTTTTGTTCATTATATTCCACAAATAAGTGAGACCATGTGATATTTGTCTTTCTCTGATTGGCTTCCTAAGTTGACTTTCATAAGCACGTTAGTGACCTTCCATTGTCATCTACCTTACATTGGTTCTGATGAGTCATTCTTGCCTTTGTTCCCTCAAATGTGGTGTGTCTTTTATTTTCTCTCTGCTTTTAAGATTTTCTCTTTATGTTTATTCTGTTTGAAGCAGTTCAGCTTCTTTAACTATAAATATATAGTTTTAATTAAATTTGGAAGATTTTGGCTAGTCTTTCTTTAAATTTCTTTCTGCTCCTACCTCTCTCTTCTTCTGTGCCATGTATATTACTGCTTGATACTGTGATACCAGTCACTGATGCTGTGTTTTTTTCCCCGTCTTTTTCCCTCTATACTTCATTTTAGATAGTTTCCATTGCTGTGCCTTTAAGTTTACTATTTTGTTTTTCTGGAGAAGATCTAATCTATTAATGTTATCCGGTGAACTTTTCATTTTAGATAGTATACTCTAGTTCTATTTGGGTTTTATAAATATAGAAATACTTCAGTTTTTCCTTTTATCAAGTTCTGTTTTCCTTTTAAATCTTTGAACATATTAATAATAGCTGTTTTAAAATTGTTGTTTACTAATTTTATCATCTTTGTCATTACTGGCCTGTTTCTTTTGACTCGTTTTCCAACTGCTAATAGATTACAATTTACTTATTCTTTGTGTATCTAGTAATTTTTTATTGAATGCTTAATATAATTAGATGTTTGGACTTTGTTGACCCCTTTAGAAGACTTAAAATTTATTTTGAAGAGTCCTTAAGTTAGTTATTGATAAGATAGATCCTTTTGAGGCTTGTTTTTAATCTTTGTTATATGGGATTCTAGGTCATACTCTAGACCAGTGGTTCTCAACCTTCCTAATGCCGCGACCCTTTAATACAGTTCCTCATGTTGGGGTGACCCCCAACCATAAAATTATTTTTGTAGCTACTTCATAACTGTAATTTTGTTTTCCGATGGTCTTAGGTGATCCCTGTGAAAGGGTCGTTTGACCGCCTAAAAGGGTTGCAACCCACAGGTTGAGAACCGCTGCACTAGGGTAAGGTATTGCTCTCTAAAAAACAGACTTCCTTCTTGAGGTGGTAGAGTAAAGCTTTTAGCCTCTTCAAAATCACAACAAAAGTGCAAAGGGAATAAACAATCAACAGAAACAAACTTGACTGTTAAAATCTGGAGACACTGGAAACTCTAAAACACAGTGTTGAATGGTTTAGCAGAGTGGAGGAAGGCCCACCCAAGGGTGCAGAAGGGGAGACACGGAGAAGCAACTTTCTGGACACACGCGTGGACAGGACGCACCAGGCCCTGCAGGAAGAGAAAGTGAAAGAGGAGGCTTAAGAGAGGGGTTATTTAGAAGGGAGTGAAGAAAAAAGTCTGACCCTGGGGCCCATAGAAACTTGGCCCAGTCAGGCAGCAGCGCCCCCGGCCCCTAGAAGCAGGAGCAATGGTTCAGGGACCCAACCAGAAGGCACAGAGGACAGCTCAGAAGGATGATTGAATTCTCCCTGGTAAATTAGACCAGACTCATGCCTCCTTCTCTAAACCTGGCTTTAGCATCCACGCATCCCCAAAAGACGAAGGAGGATCTTTCTCGAGAGCAGTGGTTCTCAACCTTCCTAATGCCTCCACCCTTTAATACAGTTCTTCATGGTGTATGTGGGCGTATCTGCATGTGGGCGGACCTGCCTGGAAACGGATAGAGGAGCGGTGTCTCGGTTCCTAAGACCATCGGAAATAATGTGTTTTCCGTTGGTCTTAGGTGACCCCTGTGAAAGAGTCGTTCAACCCTCAAAGGGGTCGCGACCCACAGGTTGAGAACTGCTGCTCTAGACCATACTCCTAGTGTGTTTTATTCTAGCATTAATTTAACCTTACCACCAGTAGGCATGACCCTTCTGGAATCTTTACTGATTGTCTCAACTGTTCATAGATTTGTCTACTCGGGCTATATATCATTCAGACCTCTTAGCCCGTGTAGGAGAGTGACGTAATGAAGATATGAAAATGTGGAGGAAAATTTGTATGTAATGAGGGCAGAGTAGTTTTGAGGTCACATTCAAGAGAAACAAGAGAAGGCCTTGAATCTAAATGGAAGCAAGGTATCTAGAAAGAAGTATCCATATGAAAGAGACACTAGAGAATAAAATGGTAGAGATGGTGTTTTTAAGATTGGGCAATCAGGAGAGTAAGAATAGTAGATTATTAGAAATATAGAAGCAAAAGGAAGAACTAATCTGGAGGATATTTAATTTAACCTACTAAACTCTGATTGTATTCTCATTTTTAAAATTACCCTTTGGAAATAGGGACTTTGTAACTTTGAATTTTTATGGAATTTCATTAATTCTTATTAAAAGAAAATTTCTAGGAAATGGTAGCTTTTTAAACGTTGCTTTTGTTCTTTATTTCCATCATACCCTTGAATGCCTAAAAGTCCCTATTTAGCTCTGCATGTATTTATAATCAACTTCTCCTCCTGCAAGTATTAGAGTAACATCCTGTATAAGATATATTTGTGGCAGGAAAAGTTTGGATAATCACATGAAATTCATATAAATAGAATTTGATATAATTTTAGGGCTCTTAATTTAAGAGATCTGCCAAGAGCTTCTTTGGAACCATATTTAAGGTTTTAAATGTACCTCATCTTTGTGGTTATGAAGCCACAGCATGTCCTTCTAGGTGGATAGGGTTGTCTAATACTGCCAGCTTCCTTGTAATTGATTTTTTAAATTGTTATTGTTAAGATCAAGTAGTATAAATTTACTCTTTTAGGGTATGTTTTCACCTTGTTGTTCTTTGCCAGAGTTAGGACATGTTTCTTTATACTACCCACAAAGGAAATTCTAGATCACTTAAAAAAGTGAGAGGGTTGATGTGACATCCTGTATTTTCTCTATTTTAAGCCCTAGTATTTTAAGCATATTACAAGGGATAACTATCCTTTTCTTGTAAACAGCTAAATTTGGTAGGTGTTAAATGTATTTGGGGCAGAAAGCCAGGAACAAACACATAAAGGTAGAGAAGCCCAGGCGAGTTCAGAGATATGTATGAGGTGGGGGAGTTAGAGGTGTGCAGGTGAGAGAGTAGTGATGTGAAAGGTATTCAGGACTTTAGTGTACCGCATTTCTCAAAGAAAAATGATAAAGTGCTTAGTCCAGTACCAGTGTAGGAACACTGCTGGAATGTTAACATTACTGGTTAATATGCAACCAGTAAATGTTAATTTTTTATATCTAGCTGATTTTTCCAGATTTTGAAGAATCCTCCTGTAGAGTTTAAATTCTTTTTCTAAAGAACATGTAGTTTTATTTCTTTCAAACTATTTACTGCTGGTTGTTTTGTGCTGCCTTTTTTTTTTTTTTGACCCAAGCATATAAATTATTTGAGATCAGATCACTTTTAACTAGCACTAAATTGATTGATAGGAGAAAATTTATTTTAAACTTTAAAAACATATACATTAAGCAATGTAATTTTAGATGTGTGGTATTATTTTTCCTGTAGAAATTCTCATATTAAAGAAACCCAGAGAAAGACCAACTATAGTACCAGGATATATTAATAACAATCAATGGAGAAAAGATCTTGGCTAACATGTCTTTGATTTTCTTGCTTTCACAAAACTAATTTCACTGCTTATTCTCTAGCCTATTAAGAAATATATTGGATTCATTTACATGGACTCTCTTCTTTAGATGTCTGCTCCAGTGCGGATCTCCCTGAAGTTGAGCTGGTGAGTCTGCTAGAAGAACAGCTGCCCCAGTATAAACTGAAAGTGGACTCTCTCTTTCTATATGAAAATCAAGGCTGGACTCAGTCCGCACACCAGCAGCATCATGCATCTGGTGCCCTCTCTCCAGTTCTTGCTGAAGAGACTTTTCGTTATATGAGTGAGTATATTTTTACCCTTTTAGAGTTTGTCCATTGAAATAATAATCATGAGTATCTTGCTTTTGATTTTTAAAGTGTTTGACATCTCTAGCCATTGTTTGGTGATGATTCTAATTGTCTAATGTTTGAATGCAGAAAGTTTGTCATTCTTATGACTCTGAGTGTCCAGGGTTACAAGCATACTCAGATGTTCCCATTTCTCCCATCTCTTACTTGATACTTTCTCAGACTGAGTAGAAAGGAACTTTTTTAAGAAGTGCTGAAATAATTTAAAAATGTAATATTCCTTTATATCTCTTGACATTTATTGTCCCAATAGTTTGATATCCTAAGCCATCAGCTTTTTAAAAAAATTCTCACCTGAGGATATTTTTCCACTAATTTTTAGATAGAGTGGGAGAGATGGAGGGAGGGAGGAAGAAAGGGAGGGAGGAGGGAGGGAGGGAGGGAGGGAAGAAGGGAGAGGGAGAGAGAGAGAGAAACATCGATGTGAGAGACACATCCATTGGTTGCCTCCCACAAGACCCCTGCAATCCAGGTTCATGCTTTTGACTGGATATCAAACCCATGACGCTTGGGTCTTCGGGCCAGTGCTCTTAACTGCTGAGCCAAACTGCTCAGGACATCTTTTTTACTCATCTTCCCTATTAAACACAATCACAAAAACTATGTCAGTCATTATGAAGCATAGTTCTTGGATACCTAAGTAGCTTTAATAATGCCAAGGAAAAATAAGTGTACAGTATATAGTAATCTTCATTATTTACTTAGGAATTCATAGAGAATATTTCAGTGAAAGGACAAGCCAGATTTGTTCTGAAAATAAGTCTGTTTTGCACCAAGCTCTTAGAAATGACAAAACTAAATAGAATACTTTTTAAACTAAAGTATGGAGATCTTTTTGCCTTTGACCTCATTCCAAAAATCTGCATTCAGGCTGGGCTTACTTTTTTCTTATTCCCTATAAAAATATCGTTGATAATAGCTGTTGTAATATATAATAAAAGTCTGTAAGTTTAGCATTGATATGTTTGTGAAATTCTTTTCGTTTGAATTAGATATGAGGTTACATCAGGTCTTAGACATTTTCTCAGTTCCTCAGTGTTTTTAAAGATTGTGGCTGGGAGTGATTGTTGTGAAATACTCATTTTCATAGTAATCATTAACTTGCTTTTAATAGTAGTTTCCAAGAATAAAGTTAATCACTGCTCAGAAAAAGAATTCTGAACATTTTTTAAACTTGAATTGTAATATTGAGAAACTCTAATAGAACTGTATTTCTTCCTCAATAATATTTTAAATAGCTGAACATTAAATAAGGCTCTTAAGATTTTTCTAACTTTCTAGTTTAAGATATTAGTTGCTTGAGATTTTCTGGAAAATGCTTTTTAAAAGAAACACTGTTTTTGATTCCCATTTCCCTTTGTTCCATGAGTTTTTAGATTTGTGGGAAGAAAATTTCAAACTGAAATTTCATCACGATACATTTAGTTTGTCATTATTTTGATAAAGTGGCACCGAAAGTACCCCTTAGTTTAAGTTCTTTGTCCTATAAGTCACAGGGGGTGAGGGTGGGGGTGGGGCACTGTAGCTAGAAAGATGTCTTAGAGATTTAATGAGTTATTTTTAGGATTAACTTTAAATTTAAAAAATGGAAAATAAAAGATAAACATATTTTAAAATACTGTTTTTCAGGACTTTATACAAAACAAACCATAATGTTCAAGGGAGTAATTTAAAACTTGAGATTAATAGGATGATACAGATCTGTCCTTCCAGGTCTGGAAAACACCCCAGGTTCTGGAAAACACTTGTATTTATTTAGTCAAATGGTACTATTTTTACTTTAATTTCAAAATTAAACTATATACTGTATGTTGATATACCTAAGATCATGAAGCAAATAAGCTGGGATTATAATTGGTCCACTAATACTGTATCTTTGTACTATACTTTAATTTCACTATTATTTTAAAGATATTAATTCTTTGGGTTAATAGTTCACTCAAATATAAACAACATTCATTATAAATTTTCATCTTATGAATGTAAAAAATAAGTGATTTACTTTATTTAGCAAATTGACCATGGTTTTAAAAAGCAAGATTCAAAACATTCTCTTACCCTTTCCCACAGTTTTCTATCCCCTTGATATTTCAAGATTGGTAGTTTTAAATAACTATGTACCCTGGCACACCATCCTTGAGTTTGGCTCCGTGGTGTTACTTCAGCCTTTTCTTATCCCTACTTCCTGCACATGACAGTAGATAATAGAGTTGTTACCACAACTACTAGATTTTAAAAAGACTTCTAGTTTTTATCACTCTCCAACCCTCCCACACCAAAAACCAAAAACCAAAAATGAAACACAAAAACACCAACCACGTGGTGTAGTAAACGCTGCAGTAACTCCCGACAACCACAGACAGGTCTTAGGGTTTTAAGCCCAAAGAAATAACTGCAGCTCTTTCTGTTACTGTACAGAGAACATTTCTGCAATACAAAAAACAAAATGAACAAACAAAAAAACTGCCTTCAAAAGAACTGAGACAGAATATAAAGAAGGAGACTGGTGATGTATACCATGTATGGCAGCCTTTCTCAATAGGGTTTCAGGGAGAATTAAGCCCTATAGATAATGATATGAGTGACAGTTTTCTTAGTTCTCTCAAGGGTAATACTTAGCTAGCACATGATGCATAGGTGATAAGGTAATCCACAATACCTAGATGTTTTAGGGCATGTGGTTTAATTCTTTTGTGGAACTAGTTGAGAAGGCTGATTAAAGAATTATATATCTGCTCATCTCTGTGACCTGACTATGGTTAATGCTTCCTGAACATTATCAATTATATTTCCCTTCCTGCAATACTTTTTGAGGGCAGAGCTTAAGGAAAAATATAACTACCAACCAGAAGTAATAATTTCTACAATGTATTTCTCTGCAAACTTTAACGTCTCCAACTAATGTCATTTTATAATGGCCATTTAACTTTGTTTGACAAAGCTTTATGTCAGTGGTTATTAAATGTGAGTGTGCGTCAGCACTATCAGGAAAGACTTGTTTAAACAGTCAAGATTCCTCATACAAGAAAATGAGATCGTTAAACAAGATTAACTTCTTAAGGTTCAGCTTTAAATTCTCAGACTATGACCCTGGCCTGTTTTGCTCAGCAGTTAGAGCATCGGCCCTCGGACCAGAGAGTCCTGGGTTCTGTTCCTGCTAAGGACATGTACCTCGGTTGCAGTTTGTCCCCAGCCCCAGTTGGGGTCATGTGGGTGGCAACCACTAGATGTGTCTCTCTCACATCGATGTTTCTCTCTCTCTTCCTCCCTCTCTCCCTCCCACTCTATCTGAAGATAAGTGCAAAAATGTCCTCAGGTGAGGATAAAAAAATATATATATATATTATTTATATATATATATATATATATATACACATTCTTAGACTATGACAGATGGTAAGCATTTATAGGAAATACATTTTAGTTTCACCTCACTGAAACATGGTTTATTTTAAACATTTCTTTTATGTATTACTGTGTCCTTCATTTTCTCTTCCTCTTTTATCATGTGATTCTTGTAGCTTACAGCTGTTTTTACATCCTTTACTTACTGACTTTACTTCCAATTTAAATTTGCCACTTCATTTTAAGCTCTGGTCAGTCATGTAATATAAATCATGTTGTGTATTTTTAAATTAGTTGTATAAAATTTGTTTTTAACTGAGTCTTGTTATTCTAAAAAATAAAAGGCCAAGGCAAGAGGCGATAAGCATTTATTTGAGATCATAAGGAATAGCTGCTCAGGAAGCACTGATTCAGGCAGAAACCCAAGTTCCAATTATGGGGTGAAGGCAAGGGGTTTTATGAGAAAGGGAAGGGAAGGGAAGTAATTACATGAATAGAAGGAGGGAATTTCTGTAGGTGCAGATAAGTTATTCTTTAGTTGTATGTGGTGGTGCTAATTCTAAAGAATCTCCTTAAATTTTCAGTTCTGGAGTCAGGAGCTCCGTTTTCCTGTTAGCTTTATAAATAGTTATTTGGAAAACTGCTGCTCTGGGCCAGTCCAGCCCAGTCTAAACGATTTTTTAAAAGCCCAGTCCAGACATTGCAATGCAGTTCCTCTGGAATGGCTGCCCTGACTCCATTTTAAAATGGCTCCACTTATGCCAACTTTTCAGTCTCCAGGATTCCTGGTTCTTGCTTTGTATTGATTCAGGATCCGTGGCTCTCGTCCCTTGCTCCATATCACAGCACCTGGGCATCTTACAACCTATGCCCTGGGTTGCCTCCAAATCAATTAAATCAGAATCTGGAGTTGAGACCCACTGCCCTAGGTTAAATTTGGTTTTGCAGCTATTGGCTGGTTTTCTATGATTAGTTTAGAGCATAGATATATTGACTTGATTTTGTTTCCCATCTTATTATCAAGACCAGAAGTAGAGGAGACTACACACTGTATCTGCCTTATTTTTAATCTTTCGTTTATGCTATACTACCAAATTAAATTGTTAAGATTTCTTAGGCCTAAAAGCCTGTTTCCCTTATCCTCATGGTTAAATTTTGGAGTCAGTTTCTCTACTTGTAAATATAAATTCTTTTGGAATAAAAGTGTTACTTTTTAGTTTTTTGTTTGGGGTAGTGTTTTGTGTTTTTTTTTTAAATCCTCACCCGAGCATATTTTTCCATTTATCTTCAGACAGAGTGTGAGGGAGGGAGAGAGAGAGAGAGAGAAAGAGAGAAAAATCAGTGTGAGAGAGACACATGGACTGGTTGCCTCCTGCACGATCCCCAGCAGGGCCGGGATTGAACCACAACTGAGGTACGTGCCCTTGACTGGAATCAAACCTTCGACTCTTTGGTCCATGGGCCAGTGGTCTAACTGCTGAGCCAAACCAGCCAGGGGTAAAACTTTTTTTTTAATCCTCACCTGGGCATATTTTTCCATTTATCTTCAGATAGAGTTGGGGGCAGGGAGAGAGAAAGAGAAAGAGAGAAATATCAATGTGAGAGAGACACATCAATTGGTTGCCTCCCTCATGATCCCTACCAGGGCATGGGACCGAACCACAACCGAGGTATGTGACCTTGACTGGAATCAAACTGAGAATCTTTGGTCAGAGGGTCTGTGCTCTAACCCAGTGGTTCTCAACCTTCCTAACGCCGCGAGACCCTTTAATACAGTTCCTCATGTTGTATGTGGGCATATCTGCCTGTGGGCGGATCTGCCTGGAGATGGATAGAGGAGTGAGTGGTGTCTCGGTTCCTAAGACCATCGGAAATGTGTGTTTTCTGATGGTCTTAGGTGACCCCTGTGAGAGGGTCGTTCAACCCCCAAAGGGGTCGAGTCCCACAGGTTGAGAGCTTTTGCTCTAGCCTCTGAGCCAAACAGGCCAGGGCTGCTTTAAACCTTTTAAAAACTATATCCTAATACCATCACTCCAGCACCTAGTTTTACTTTTAACTAGGAATAAGATTATCATTAATAATTAAGGTCTAGGTAATTCCCAGATTCATTTTAAGCAATGATGCTAGGAAGAACAATCGAAAGCTCAGATAAACTAAACATGTCTAATGGTGTCCTTTGGACAACTTCAAGTGCTAAGATGGGACTAAAGAACTCCAAATGACTTAAACCATAGTATCTACTGCCAACTCAGTGAATTTTTTGCAGAGAAAATAAAACCAGGGCTATTTCATGCATACCAGTTGTGTTTAAAGTGTAATAACTGAATAGTTGTAGGATACTCAGCAGTTTTGCTCAATAAAATTTCTTATTTGAACCTCCTTATGACCTTGTGAGATGAATGTTATTGCCTCCATATTATAAATACAGAATCTGAATCTCAGAAGGATTAAGTGACTTGTTCCAGCTCGCTCAAATATGTGAATTCAGCGTTTCTGCCCCAAAGTCTCTCTTTTTCTTCAAGACAAATTCATAAAAACCTAAGTCAAACACAAATCTGTATCATGTAATGTACTCCAAAGTAAAAAAATTTCTTTTGTATTATGCATCATCTTTAGCTTGAAAAGGTATTGTTTATTGTGACTGTGGAAGCACTGGAATCACATTTGTCCTTCTCTTTGGAGCTAAATTACTCAAGTGCATTGGCAGTTCCTGAATTTATGAAGTGCAGAAATACTAGGCTTGAATTATGCAAGTTATAATGTATAGTATACAATACAGTTTATTTTATGGCAATGGCCTTGATATGAAGATTATCATAACGGGTTTTTAATTAAGCTAAAAATGATGATGATTTATAACAGCTACAAAAAGTCTTACAAGTCCTATTCCTTGTTTATTGATATTAACTCGCGATAGGTGATGATATTCATGATAATCACAATAGAATTCTAATGGTATTCCTTTGTAACAGTATAACCTCTGAGCAACTTGACTCTCAGTAACTTTAATATAGAGTAGGATATAAAACAATTGGTGATTTCATGCATTCTCCCAGCCCACATTTTCTAGTGTGAGTGCATCAAAGTTCTAATCTTCCTGAGGGAGAAGGAGATAGTCAGGAGGTGACTGCCTTGTGATCATTTGATGCTTTCTTAATTTATTGTATGATGTACATTTGTTTGTAATAATTAGTCTATTTCCAAATTGTCTAATACATGAAACATCCTTCCCCTTTTTTTCACATATATGTTTATTCTCCTGAATGGCTTTTGTAAAAGCCTGGGTTTGTTGTTGTTATCTTTCGTTTCTTATGAATAGTTAAAATTTTCTGTTATTTCTAAATCCTATAAACAGTTGTTTTTAATTGTATTAGTTCTAGGCACAGACAGGGTGGAACAGAAGACCAAAACTTACAATGACATCGACATGGTTACACATCTCCTAGCAGAGGTAGGAATATATCTTTTTCTTTTTCCAGTACAAAAAACTGAAACTTGAAGATCATTTGTAATTTATCAGATTTTTATATCAAGTAAAAAATGATGATGTCTTTGTTGTGGTTGTTGTGGATGATGAGGTTGTTACAGCTGGAACAACTGGCATACCAACTAGCATTCCAGTGCAGAGTGGTTCCTGAAGTTTAACTGGTATGAAATTATAGAAGGTTTACGGGGTTTTTTGTTGCTGATGTTATAATGGTGCCGGCTGGCCTTTCTGTCTTAAAAAAGTAGATGTGTCACTCTACCTGGAGCAGAGCTGCCTATTCAAGAAACAGCTCCATTGTAAATCTATACCTGCAGTTTGGAACATCTTTTCAAAGATTTTTGCTTTCAGTTTGGGTTACTTTTTGAGCTCACTTTGTCTATGACATTTTTAATAGGTATTGTGTTTCTCTTCCAATTGGCAGTCATAGAGGTATCTCCTTAGACTTCAATTTCAGTTGATCTTAATGGAAGACTGTCTTTATCTTTGAAGTACCCCTTTATCTCTCCTCCCCAGCTCCCCAGAACAATTTTGTATATGTCACTTAGCCTACACTAACAATGAGATAAGTGGGCCTTGAAATTTTGGAAATAACCTATCCACCTGTTTTCATGTACTATGGAGCAAAAGAACAGAAGCTTAATTTAATTTACAGTGATTAATATAAGCAGAATCCATACTCATATATACGGCAGTTAAATGTATATTGACAATTTTCTGTTCTTACAAAATAGGTGGGATTTCTGTTATTACTAAGTATCACCATGTACCCAGAAAGAGTAACTCTTCCTTTGCTTAGCTTTTCTGTAGGCATCCCTGCATCATTACCACCAACTTCTTTAGACACCCTTTTTTTCTAATCTCTAAACAGAACCTTGTAACTTCAAAACTTCTAGTCCTTTATCCCCTGTTTTACTTCATATCCTCATTCTTGCGCCAGTTGACAATAGGGCTCTTAACAGTGCTTTCCTCTAAGTCTCTGGCTCTCAGTGCATATAAACTTTGCCCTAAATGAAACTTTTTAGCAAACCTACCTGATCCTCATATTTTAATTACCTACTTCTGTACCATTACCATGCTTGATAGACAGATCCATTCAACAAATATTTGTTGGTCCTTTACTGTGTGCCAGGCCCTGGCCTCAGTTTTAAAGACTGCATTGATTTTTCTTATTCCCCAAAGTTGTAAGTTTAAAGATTGGTTACTGAATCCAAATTAATAGGGTTGATTAGTAATAAATTTCACTTGATATCAAGAAAAATGCCTTCTTGCGTTTACAACTGTGGTGGTCATCCATTTAACCAACATATGTTAAACATCAGCTGTGTGCCATGTCATGTGTTTATTTGGTATCTGGATGTTAAAATGAATCTTGATACTTTCTAGAATGTTGCGTTTTGTATTTACCACAATTGACTACAAAATCTCTAAACTCTCATTTAATTTTGTTGGCACTCAAAGAAAATTGTATTTGGTATTTTAACAGAGGGATCGTGATCTGGAGCTAGCTGCTCGAATTGGACAAGCTCTCTTAAAGCGGAACCATGTCTTGTCTGAGCAGAATGAAGCTCTGGAGGAGCAGTTGGGACAGGCTTTTGATCAAGTAAGTCTTTGATCAAGTATTTGCAGCATGAAATAATTAGGTCTCAGGCAATGGAGGAATTTCTTTTCCTGGGTGTCTCTGAATTGATGACAATAAGTAGATAAATAACACCAGTACATGTGGACTTTGTGGGCACTCATTGAACTAACTAGTAGAGAAATGAAATAATACTGTACAGAGCAGTTCTCATGTGAGTCTACCTTAGTCAATATAAAAACCTATATTCAGTACCTATCTATCGTACTTGTGGCACCCTGCTTAGATTCTAACATTTTATCCTCACCCCTTTGTGTAGACTTTGTGTGTGATCTTTTCACTTTATTTTTTAAAAATATACCCCCAAATAATAGACACCCGAATGAACTGTCTTTAGTCAAAAGCCCAAAAAAGGAAAAGGACAAGTTATTTCTGAAAATGTATTTATTCTAAGCAGTAAATATTATTAGTGAGAGCAGCTTTAATATTAACTTGAATGGTTAATTTTCAAATTTTCTGTAATTTGTTATTTTTATCTAGTTCTATTTACATTTTATAAATGCATTATATTTAATAACATTTGAGCCTTTATGTTGAAGATACATATTCCCTAGAACCAAAGTTAGGAAATTGTGCAGAGTTATACAGCTTAAAAGTACAAACCTTTAGAATGAGAATTTCAAGTAGGGATCTAGTCTGATAGTTTGAAGATTCTTCAGTTTTGTTTTGTTTTTAACTGCGAATGTATCATTATCTTAGTAAAAATTTCCTCCTACATTTCTATGATATAGAATGTGAAAATTGGCTTTCCTTCTCACCTAATATAGAAAAAGCTGTATTTGTTGAGTTAATGCTCTAAAATTATGGTTTAGGAAGTATTTGAGGTTTGTTATGCCCCTTTTCGCACTTGTTACTTTAGTCAGTAAAATCTAGCAGCTAATTATATTGTTTTAAGTTGAGAAATAATTATTCCATGAATCAGAAGTTATATATATTATATTAATTAATACAAAATAAAGGACATTTTGTAAATCAAGCCCTTTTACTGTGCAGGTTAACCAACTGCAGCATGAGCTTTCCAAGAAAGATGAGTTACTTCGAATTGTCTCCATTGCTTCTGAAGAGAGTGAAACTGATTCCAGCTGTTCTACACCTCTTCGGTTCAATGAGTCCTTTAGTTTATCTCAGGGCTTGCTACAGTTGGACATGCTGCAAGAAAAGCTTAAGGAACTGGAAGAAGAGAATATGGCTCTTCGATCCAAGGTACATTCAACCCAATTTCTTTAACTTAAAGTCTGTAGGGTTTAAAAACAGGAGTGTTGAGGTAAATTGTGACATAACAGGATTTGCTATTGACATTCTGATTAGGGAGTGGCAGCCAAGACACATGTATTTATTTGCCTTCCATTGTTTCTTAGATCCCACTGAAATGTTGATAATAGCAAGTTGACAGATGATATAGAGAAAGCTGCAGCATAGAATATATATCTTCTGGAGTTTAAACAAATAACTAAATAAATGTGTGATAAGAAAACTATGTTGGAAAATTACAAGGTTCTTTGTGCTTGTTTGATGGGGGGCAGGGAGGATCAAAGATGTCCTACTAGAGCAAGTGATATTTTAGCTAAGGCTAGGGATTAGCCAGGCAGAGATGTATGGAGGCAGGGGTAGAGGGCTGGAGGGATGACTAGCCATTTACAGAGACCCTGAGTGGAATGAGGGGGAGATGTTTGTCATATCCTTTTCCATACCTTTTTTTTTATGATAGATAAAGTTTTATGGGTTATTTTTTCCTTTGTAAATGATTAACTTTTATCTTCAAATGAGAATTAAAGGTTTTTTTTTTTTTTAGTTAATACTGTAAAATAATTAGAAGATATCACATACTGTATTTTTTTTCTTGAAGGCTTGTCACATAAAGACAGCAACTATTACTTATGAAGAGAAGGAACAACAGCTTGTCAGTGATTGTGTTAAAGAACTTCGTAAGTATTAACATATTCTGTTTGCCTTTGGGCTGTTTTTTAGTAGGATATCTCCAACTCAGAAATTAGATCACTGGTTTCAGTGGAAACATCTCAAGGAATAGTATTAAGTAATTACTGAAGATCTTGGGAATATCACATTGAACCCACAGCTTTAATAAAATACTATATATACTTTTTTTTATCCTCACCTGAGGACATTTTTATATTTATCTTCAGATGATGAATGGGAGGGAGAGGGGGGGGAAGAGAGCAAGAGAAACATTGATGTGAGAGAAACACATCTACTGGTTGCCACCCACATGACCCCAATCGGGGCCAGGGACAAACTGCAACCAAGGTACATGCCCATAGCGGGAACTGAACCCGGGACTCTGGTCCGCGGGCCGACGCTCTAACCACTGAGCAAAACCGGCCAGGGCATACCATATATACTTTTAAGAAACAGAAACATCTTTGTTTCAGTTTGTCATCATCATTATATAAAGGCCTATATTTCTATGTTATAGCATGTTAGAGTGAAAGAAAACAAAGCTCTTGTTTTGTTGAGGAAATAGTCCTATAAAGAATGTGATTTTTCAGAGTCAGAAAATGATTGATAAGTGGCACAGCCAGGTCTAAAATTCAATCAGTTTATTTGAGCATTGGGCCTCAGAATGAGATAACTTAGAATAAGAGAATATTAGAGAACCAGAAAGAATGTGTATTGAATCTTCTCCATAAACATCATATTACCCACCTTTTACACTTAAAAAACAAAGAAGAAATTACTTTCCCAAGAGCTCAGATCCAGGTCTCCTTCCTTCGTGTTGCCATCCTATGAATTGTTATAGGCTTTCTATCAATTAAAAAATAGTTTTATATGACATTGAGAAATGGTTCTACCACTTGTGTTTAGATATCAAAGTTTTTATCTGAAATAAAGATTTATTTTCTCACTGGAATTCTAAAGGTTCTATTTCATGTGCATTCAAGAATGCTAGGCTGTAAGAATTGCTTTAGCGGCCCTACTCATTTTGCTAGGTGTTCCAGGAAAACTCTCCTACAGAAGCATCTCAGTAGCTTTATCTGTAGGTTGAACAGATTGTGACAGTTCTATTCTGGAAATGTTCATTTGTTGGACTTGTTAAGTTTAATTTTCATTACTTGTGGGAGTTTATTTACATCTCTGAAGAGTTCTCAAAGACATAAATGAGATTATGTCTTGGCACTTGCAAAAATATATAATTCACTTATATCTTTTTGTCCTACTGTCCTTCATAAAGAAAAAGATTTGAACATGTATCTTTTTCATAACTAAAACGATTGAAGCAAAACCTTCAACTTGCCTTTACAAGTCATCTCTTTTAGCTTCACTGCTTCATAGTCAATTCCTAAGATTAGCCTTTTTCAGAAGAATCTTTATTTTTTTAAAATTTATGTTAAAGAAAAATGTATTTGTGGATAGTCAAATGCTTGTTACAAAACAGAATTTGGCCCACAGGCCATAGTTTGCCAACTCCTACCCTACATGTTTATTACTTTTTAAAATTCTTATTTGTTTCCAAGGTGAAACAAATGCTCAGATGTCCAAAATGACTGAAGAGTTGTCTGGGAAGAGTGATGAACTGATTCGATATCAAGAAGAGATCTCCTCTCTCTTGTCTCAAATTGTAGAACTTCAGCACAAACTTAAAGAAGTAAGTTCATTCTTTCTTTCAATAGATGTTTGTTAAGCACTGACCTAGTACCATGCACTGTACTAAGTGCTAGATTAAGCAGAATAAACACGGCCCCTGCCCTTTTAAAGTGCTTTAAACTGATTACTGTTTTAGTCTTCTCTCTGTCATGAAGTATGAATAACTACTTTCAAATCACTATTTCTCTCTGTAATGATACTGAACCCAGGTTCTGCTGCCTGCTGCTCAAAAACCAATAATCAAGAGACAGGGGCTGGTAGAAGAAGGTAGTTTATTCAAGAGCTGGCTGCCTGAAGATGGTGGACTCCCGTCACCAAGACCATCTTAACAATTGGACACAGGCAGGGGTTTTTATAAGGAGGGAGGTGGAAGAAAAAATAAAACAGAACAGAGGAATCAAAAGGAAGGAGTTCTCCACTGAGGGGCTACAGGCAAGCCAGCACAATCTGCTCAGGTAGCTCACTGGTTGAGCTCAGCAAATCTCCTGAAGCTGGAATGGCTGAAGGTTGGAGTCTGCTTCTTTGAAGTTAGTTCCTAGAATTCTTAAGCAAACAAACTGTTTATCTGTAGTGACATATTAGTTAACAGGTAATCATTTACAGAAATAATGTGACAAGTATGGTGGGTTGGGTTACAGTAAAATGGGGTCAGAACTTCCTCAGAAAGTTGTGATGTGAATTATTGACTCATGCTCACTGTTTTCTGAACACATTGATGGGTTTTGTATTCTGCCCATGTTATTACGCTTGGCTTTTGGAAGGTAAACTTTTTTTTTTTTTTTTTTTTAATTTTTTAATTATTAAGGTGTGGCAGATTCAAATGCTTCCTAAACGCACACAGCTTCTGTGAGGGAGGGTGGATGACGGAGGTGGGAGGGGATCTTGCATGCCTGATTGACAGGGGGCCACCAGAACTGGCTCCAGCAGCCTGAGGCCCCAAGGGGCAGGCATCAACTTTTTATAGGTCTTTACATAGACTATACCCCTTAAGATGTCTTTAGAAAGAGAGTAGCCTCTATTTTATATGGAAAGGCTTCACATGTCTCTTAATATGTCCTTAGCATGTGATTGAGAAGGAAGAACTGAGACTTCACCTACAAGCTTCCAAAGATGCCCAAAGACAACTGACATTGGAGGTAAAGAAATCTTTATCTTGTGTAATACAGCAAGGGAGGAATGAATAGCTTCTTTCATCTTTGTGAATAAGATTTAAAATAACAATAATAGGATCAAATGAAATTATGAGAGCTAAGAAGTAAACATTTAGGAAATTCTTTCTCTGAAACTAATAACATGGCAACATCCTTACTGATTGATGGGGAAAACCTTGACTTTTAGAAGATTCTTTTTTTTTTTTTTTCCTTTTTATTGATTTTTTAGAGAGAGGAAAGGGAGAAAGAGAGAGAAACATCGATGAGAAAGAACATCATTCGGCTGCCTCCTGCATGCCCCCTACTGGGGATCAGGCTCACAACCTGGGCATGTGTCCTGACCAGGAAAGGAACTGGTGACCCCTTGGTGCATGGGTCGACGCTCAACCACTGAGCCACACTGGCCAGGTGGCTTTTAGAAGATTATTTAGTAATATATGACCCTTTTACCAGTTTACCTTAACTACCCCAACAGATTTTAACATAAGAATCACCTGGCAGGATGAATTTTAAATGGAGTTTCTAGGTATCATCCCTAAGACTTTCTAATTTGTAGGTCTAGAATGAGGGCCTAGAATCTGCATTTTTAATAAGCATTCCCAGCCCTGGTGATGCTAATATACAGCCACATACTATACTTGAAGAAAATTTAGAAGTTTAATTTTAGAAGTTAAAATGTACTCTGAAAAGTATGTACTCTTGTAACATCTTTGTAAATCTAACAATAAAGAAGATTCTGAAACAAGGGAGAAGAAACTGCTTGTTTAGGATCACTGAGCCACTCTGACATCATAAACAATATTTTGTAGACTTAATCTTATCATTTACAGACTTCAGAATGATGTTTAAAAAATATAACAGTATGCTAAATCTGACTTGACCATAATGATTATATTTCCTCTATAAGTTTTTAAGGGGATGAATTGACGGTTATGGTTGTCTCAGCTACATTTCAGATATTTAAGAAATCATGTTTATGTATAATTCTGACCAAGACACTCCTAATTCTGGCAGCTTGAAATATATATTATGTTGATAAACTTAGCCAGCCCTCTGGATAAAATTAATACTTATCCCAAAGGTTTTGTTTTCCCCATTGTCATTTTAGAATATAATAGAGGACACTAATTACCACCCTTTCTTTCAGCTACATGAGTTACAAGACAGGAATATGGAGTGTCTAGGAATGTTACATGAATCCCAAGAAGAAATAAAGGAACTTCGTAGTAGATCTGGCCCTGCTGCTCATCTCTACTACTCCCAATCATATGGAGCTTTTTCTGGGGTGAGAAACTGAGAAAGATGTTTTGTATTTAAGGAAACTTGTTTGATATTAGATTATCCTGAGAGTGGTTTCTGATGGTGTAAAGCATTTTAAGAAGAGATAACATGGATTGTCCTTTGATTTAGGCCTTAATCTTGCTTATCTACATCTACCTCATACTCTTATTTATTCCAGCCTTCCTTCTAACAGATGACCACCCAGATTTATTATAATGCATATATTAAATGAACCCCAGGGAAATTAGGTTTAGGTCTGTGTACCACAGAGCTACTTGAACTTGCATCATTCTTACCCTAAGCCCACTACATCCCACTTACGCAAATAGTGCTCTGAGCATCCAAAATTTCTTTTCATAAATCTTGAGTTTTTTGTTTGTTTGTTTGTTTGTTTGTTTTTATCCTCACCCAAGGACACTTTCCCATTTTTTTGTTCAGGTAGAGTGGGAGGGAGAGAGAGGAACAGAGAGAGAAACATCGATGTGAAAGGAACACATCGAGTGGCTGCCACCCGCACGACCAACCAGGGCCGGGGACAAACTGCAACCAAGGTACTTGCCCCTAGCGGGAACCGAACCCGGGTCTCTCCAGACCGCAGGCCGACGCTCTAACCACTGAGCCAAACCGGTCAGGGCTCTTCTGGACCATTTAACAGCAAGTTGCAGATGCACCCTATTCCCCCTTAGTACCTCAGTGTATGTTTACTAAAAACAAAAGCACTCTCCTACATAACCACACTTCCACCATCAGCGTTGGGAAATTGACATCAACACAATACTATAATAGCTAGATAAAGCTAAGAAATAGATATATGTTTATACACACACTCATACAAACATATATACATCTTTCTTTCCATTCATATTGTTCACACCAATCCCTCCAATCCCAGTCACTGTCAGCTTAACCCCACTGAGCATGCCACCCATGTTAGTTGAATTCTCACCCTGCCCAGGGGAAGGGGAAGGTTGCTTATTTTTATTTTATTGTATTTTCTATATTATTAAAGTTGTACATGTTTATTATAGAAAAGTTAGAAATTACAGAGAAGCCAAAAGAAATTCTTAAATACCATCAAATCCTGCCCTCCACAGAATCACTATTAACATCTTGGTTTGTCGCCTTTCATACCTTTTATTTTTATATGTCTGCATAAGTAATATTTTTTATTTATTATATTGGTTTTTGCTACTGCTTTCCTAAAAAATTAGTTGGTTCTTATTTAAAAGTTGCATTTCCAGAATGTCCCTTTATTGTTCTATATTTTTTTGTATTATTATTATTTTTTTTATCTGCACCCAAGGACATTTTTGTATTTATATTCATATAGAGCGGGAAGGAGAGAGGAAGGAAGAGAGAGAGAGAAACATCCATGTGAGAGAGACACATCGACTGGTTGCCACCCACACAACCCCATCCGGGGCAGGGACAAACTGCACCCGAGGTATGTGCCCTGAGCGGGAACCGAACCTGAGACTCTAGTCCATGGACTGACGCTCTAACCACTGAGAAAACTGGCCAGGGCTGTACTTTTCTTTTATTGTAACACCAAAAGTACTGCATTCTGGAGACTTCGTTAATTCATTTAGGACAATTCATTTCTCCTAGCAGGCTTCTTACATAATGACAATAGGAATCTCAAATTCTTTCTTAGGAATCTCTGGCTTCTGAGATTGAGGGGACCATGCGTAAAAAGTTGAGTTTGGATGAGGAGTCTTCTCTTTTTAAACAAAAGTAAGTACAAATCATATATGTGTTATTACTCAACCATTGGGATGGAAATTTAAAATAAGCCACAATCCAAAGTGATAGGTATTATGAGATTCAGAAGTAAATTTGCGTACTTTTCTGTTTTTTTTTAATTCTTAGCACTCACATTTATGAGAGAGTTCTCTGTTAAGTTTATTTTCTAATGATCTCTCTCCAACATTAGAGGCATTCAGGGTGGCTTATTTTATTTATTTATTTTTATTTTTATTTTTTTTTAATCTTCACCCGAGGATATTTTTCCATTTATCTTCAGATAGAGTGGGAGGGAGACAAGAAGGAAGAGAAAGAGAGAGAGAGAGAGAGAGACACACACACACACACACACACACATTGATGTTAGAGAGACACATCAATTGGTTGCCTCCCACACAACCCCAACCAGGGCTGGGGACGAACTGCAACCGAGGTGCTTGCCCTTGGCTGGAATTGAACCTGGACCCCTTGGTCTGCTGGCCGAGCTCTTAACTGCTGAGCCAAACCAGCCAGGGCAGGGTGGCTTTATTTTTAATTGTACATAAATGTCTCTTTTCTAAAGCACTCTAGCAGTAGGGATTAGCGATAATGAATACTTCTGTTTTGACAGGGCCCAACTGAAACGGATATTTGATACTGTCAAGATTGCCAATGACACACGGGGCTGCCCTGTCCCAGTCCCAGCTCTGCTGTCCATTCCGGGCTCCAGCCACTCAAGTGTCATCATGACAGCAAAACCTTTTGAGTCTGGTTTACCACAAACAGAGGACAAAACACTCCTCAGCCAGGGGAGCAACTCGGAGGAGGTTCCAGGGTAAGAAATGTAGATCATGGCAGTGGTTCTGCATTTCCTGTGGCATTGACATAACAGATTCACATATTCAAATTCCAGCATTGTTCTGTGCTGTCCCAAGGAAGTTCTGGAACTCTCAGTTTTCATTCACTAATGATACCGTATATCATTATTTGTAAGACCGATTACTGATACCATAAAAGTTTTTGGAGTGAAAAGGCTACATTTAATTAAGTGTGTTCAAAATGGGGTTTTCATTAAAGTATGAAATTCTTTACCACTTTCTTCTTTGGTGTGACAGAGTTTGAGTCTAACTCTTCTTCTTGTTCAAATTCAAATTTGTTTCAATGTGTTTAGTTATTGGCATTTATGCATAGTATCAGATGATACTTTTTCATACTCCATGCTAATAATCTCAACTACTTTGGTGCCTTTAGGATAAACAATGAGTGTGAATGCCTACTGAGGAAAACTAGCTTGCTCTTAATTTTCTGTTTGTTTAAACTTAGACTTTTTTTCACTTTTCATTAAACTGAATTTATAATTCAGTTCATTGAATTACATATTAACTAGAAATAGCATTATTGGAAAGTAAACTGGAAGCTTTTGAAAGATAGATGTTTGGCACCTGAGAGAAATCTTTTCTAATGCAGAAATCATTACAGGTATGCTGGTTTTTTTATTGTATTGCCTGGTCTACAGTGAGCATGTTCTGCACCCACAGCAGCTATATGTATCAATACTACCTTACCTGAGAAGATTGAACAAGCAGATATGTGTGAATTCACACATAGTAGCCAGGAGCAACTACAACTCAGCTTGCTGAGTTGATATTCAATTATAAAAATTGGCAAAAAAATATGTGTCACAGAACTATGGAAATGCAGTATTTATAAATCTGGTTGTTTGCTTTTTAAATGTTCTATTTATGTTTTGCAGCTAGTGGCATGTCATTGATTAAGGAATAGCATTTTTTTCATTCTTAGTAGTACATAAGATAATGGAACCTTTTATAACCAGTGTTATTATAGATTCACGAAATATGATAATATTTACTTTTTTGACTATCAAAACAATTTATAGATGGTCATATCTATAATTTCATGTATCAAGTGAAATAGAACAGTCAGTAAACATAACATAATAATAAATTGTGTTTTTGCCTGTCTGAAGTCACTTGTAGTGATCTATAAAGATGATATATAGCCCAACCGGTGTGGCTCAGTGGTTGAGCGTCAACCCATGCACCAAGAGGTCACCGGTTCGATTCCTGGTCAGGGCACATGCCCAGGTTGTGGGCCTGCTCCCCAGTGGAGGGCATGTGGGAGGCAGCCAATCGATGTTCTCTCTCATGGATGTTTCTTTCTCTCCCTCTTCCTTCCTCTCTTTCTAAAATCAATAAAGAAAACATTTTAAAACATAAAGAAAAGAAAAAAGAAAGAAAATGATGTATAGTACTAAATGATTTTGGATTGTTGTTACTATTCCTGTATTTTAGATATCTAAGAGAAATTACTGTGTTGTTAAGATTAGTCTTTTAAATATTCACCATGTGGAAAGGAGAGGTCTAGGTGGTGCTCATGACCCTTACAGACCTAGTCAGTGAATGTGATTTTCCCACAGGAACGTTCAGAAAATGAGCCAACCAGAACCCTCTGGAGATGGTGATTTGGCTACAGCACTGCATCGCCTTAGTCTGCGGCGACAGAACTACTTAAGTGAGAAGCAGTTCTTTGCTGAAGAATGGGAGCGGAAGATCCAGGTTCTGGCTGAACAAAAAGAAGGGATTAGTGGCTCTGACAGCCTTGCCTCTCTCTGCACTGACCAGTCAGAGACAACAGACTGCAGCAGTGCCAGTTGCCTTCGGTGTTTTATGCCTGAAAAATTACAAATTGTCAAGCCCCTTGAAGGTAATAAATCAGTAAAGGACATTTTTAAGCCATTTTCCTTACTGGCCTTTCCTTCCCCTAAAATTGAGATTTGTATTGTAATTGTAAGAACACTATGTGCAGAAGATATCTTTATTGTGCCTAAATACCATTGCTTGGGCGGCTTTGTGGAAAATGAATGAAGAGATCTGCATTCTCCAGTCACCAGCCATCAGTTCTCTTTTACTAATTATATTTTTAATATAAATGTGAGAGAGGAAGAGTAATCTTTTTTTGTCCTTTTCTAAGGAATATTGTTGATGGCAGATTTTATGGTAAGATAAATGGGATATGATAAGTAAAAATAATCTAGATGTAATACTTTCACCTCTACATTTTTTTCAAAAAAGCGTTTTTTACCCCAGTAATATAATATCTATCATCTACTTTGAGACATATGTGCCTGTATTTTTCTTTTCAGTCTGTTAATTTCAGTTGTTTCTGTTTTCTCCTAAGATAGGACTTGAATTCAAAATAAATTCCTTTGTTTTATAGAAAATTAACAGTCTTCAAATGATTCTCTGCTATTATCATAAGAGTTTGCATTAGAAAAAAATTTTGAGTAGGAGACCTGTGAGGACCCCTCAGACTGAAAGGTTCTGTATGTTAGTTTTATTCATTAATGATCCATGCAAGTATTTGTCAGAGTTGCTATTTTAGGATGAAATAACTCTAATGTCATAATTAGACATTGCATCTGATGCAGTTGCTTGAGGTAATCATTAACCAGGGCTCACAGACAGGAACCATGGGTATATATCCTACTTTTATCATTTCCTTCATTTTCCTACTCTCCCTGCAAGCCTGGGAAAGGAGAGTCATGAGCAAGTACACACACAAAAAATACACTGAAAATTCAAGGTGTCTTACATGCCATGATCCTGGCTTTTGACTTGAATGTATAAGCCAAGGAAGCATTGATTTTTGTCACCTGGGAAAATAACAGCCCCACATCTGAGGCACATACTGTATCTTCCTTCTCATCACTGCCTCAGCATCTTCGTGCCTATTACGCCTGCTGTCTTGTTTTCTTTCACCCCTGCTTTAGATCTCGTTTTTAAAGTTAACTTTTGAAATAGAAAAATTATTATTTGTATCTTCAGCAACTTGTCAGTGTTCCACAGAGAACTTCAATTTGCAAATTTTACCAAAATATTAAGACAAAATAAGTAGTTTTATTATTATTACTTTTTTACACATGTAATTTTAGCTTCTGCTTTACGATTTAATATTTGTGAGAAATTTACAACATGCCTTTTATTTATTTATTTTTGTCTTGCATATTCAGGATCACAAACTCTGCACCACTGGCAGCAGCTTGCTCAACCAAATTTAGGAACCATTCTTGACCCACGACCAGGTGTCATTACTAAAGGCTTTACCCAGTTGCCCAAGGATGCCATCTATCACCTCTCAGATTTAGAAGAGGATGAAGAGGAAGGTATCACTTTTCAGGTTCAGCAACCTCTTCAAGTGGAACAGAAACCTACAGATCCCAAGCTAGTAACAGGAATCTTTCTACCACCCATTACATCATCAGGTGGACCAGTTACAGGTGAGAAGAGTGCTTGGTTGAATATAGTTTAGTAACTAGTAGTACTTTGCATCCTGACTTACTGTATGGCCAGCTGACTACCTCTACTTAATCTCACTGCAGTGTACTTAGTCTTATAACATACTGTACGATGATAAAAATCTATAGCATTTAGTGGCCTTCTAATTCTACTTTATTTTAGCCAGCCCACATAAATAAACTGGGCAGAGAGTGATCAACTCAGTCACTGGCTTGCAAACACTTTAGGCTCAGGACCTCTTTACACTCTTAAAAATCAGTGAGAATTCCAGACAGCTTGTCTGTGTGGGTTGTATGTATTGATAATTACCATATTAGAAATGAAAACTGAGAAATTACAATTTTGCAAATCTCTAATTTATGGCTTAATAGAAGATAAATTCTCATATCAGCTTCCACATTCAGTTATAGTTTGTGTTTTGTTTGAAGAGTGCAAAGAAAATGCAGCTTCACATAGAAATATAGTTGGAAAAGGAGAGTATTTTAATAGCCTCTTCAGGCATTTGCAGATATTCTTTGATTTTACACCAAAACTTGATAAGTTGTAGTTTAAGGTTTGTAGCAATATGGAATCTGAAACCCTGTCATTGAACTTTTCATACTTCATTACATTAAAACCTATTGGTCTGTCCTACACATTGAATGCATGATTTTGTAACAGCATGAATTGGTCATTTGGAAAATATTGGTTCACTGAATTATGCAGATCATCTACATAGTGACACATTTCATTATGTAATATATGAAAATCACATTACTATCACCACCTTTCTGTCTTTTAGTATTAGGAAGCTTTCAAGCCCTCAGTGGTAGATATAAGTTTTCCAAAATCTTATTTTTACACAAAAGCTCAAATTCTGTCAGTGGCAGCAAATCCTGCCAGCTATTTTTCTTGAAGAGACAGATTCACTGCATTCATTTTCAAAAACATTTCTGACCGATATTCAAGCCTAAATAACTAGTTTGTCTATTAGTTCTTTTAAGTAAAAGTGGTGGTGTATGAAAAAATTACAACGCAGTTGGCCACATGCTTTTCCTCTAGTGTCTCGGTTTGCGGTGGAGCACTTAATGATTACTTCCAGTTTCATCACACAGAATATTAAAAAGATTCAAGAGTCAAGATTAAATAAATGATTTTTACTGCTTCCTCAAGGACATTCTTATGTGAATCTGGCTTTTTCCCCCTTTATTTAATACTATGCGTAGATAACAGTGAAGAATGCTAGTGCAGCTTATTGCTAAGGAGCCAGCAGTTTTACCCACCATTGATTTTATGCCAACCCAGTCGAAAAGGCAAATAGTATCTTAGAATTGCTGTGAAAGTAGCTTTAACCTGTAGACTTCCACAAAGTGTGTGAACCACACTTTGAGAACCACTAGAGTGGACAGTTTGACTAGAAAGACTGAATGATTAAATCTTGGTGATGGTTGTTTTTTTTTTTTAATGTATTTTTTTTATCAGGATATGTTTTTCTCTTGTTTCTAAGCTATTTTAATCCATTTAAATTTCAGTTCTAAAGGATTAAAGGATTCAGCTGTATATACTAACTAATTAATACTAATACAATATTTATATATTTTTTATTTCCAGATTTGGGGATTTTTGTACAAATGACACTTGATAAGTGCTGTATTATTAATAAATAGTTAACTTTTTACATTATTAATGTGGTCTTTCAATTTTGTGTTTGATTCCCTAAAAATCTGCTTCAGTTGCAACCTCAAACCCAGGAAAATGTTTGTCATGCACAAACTCGACATTCACCTTCACCACCTGTAGGATATTACATCCCTCTGATATCACTCAGGTTACCCCCAGGTAGGTCTGGGCAATTTGAGGCCTGACTTCTTACCTCAACTATGTTTTCATGAATTTCATTTAAAAATCACTTTCATTTTAATTCCCAGAATTTTAATTAATATTGTGTGATAATTTGTCTTTATAATATTTTCACACTGTGTTTTCTCATTGGATCAAAGTAGGCAGAGCAAGTGAGTATGAGTTGTGTAAACAAAGAAAAAGTCATAGAAAGTTCATGTGACTGGTCCAAGGGCAGATAGGTAGTAAACGGCCCAACTGGGACTACACCCACAGTTAGCCAAACTGTTAAGAGTGAAGGGACTCGTCCTCTCCATATCCAAGTACCCTTACTTCTGACACCATCTGCTAACAGGACCCAGAACTTCACTGAAAGCTATTGTGCTCTACGTGACTGTCTGTCACAGGGAAAGGATGCAGATTAAAAGTAGCCAAAGGAAGAGATGCATAGATCAGAGCCTGGAAGGGTTCCACTTGTAAAGCTCTCCTTGTCCTCCAGATTCTTCACTTCCCTGGCATTAATGTATGATCGTGTACATAGCCAGGGAAGCTCACCCAAGGCTCAGTGTCCAGATTTTGGTTGTGTATTTTGTTTTGCTTTTTTAATTCTTACCCAAGGATATTTTCCCATTTATCTTTAGATAGGGTGGAAGGGGGGAAGAGAGAGTGATGTGAAAAAGGCACATTGACTGGCTGCCTCCCACACAACCCGACCAGAGTCAGGGACAAACTGCAACCGAGGTACATGACTTTGACCAGAATTGAACCCCACCCCCACCCCCGCCATAACTCATTGGTTCATGGGCCGATGCTCTAACTGCTGAGCCAAACTGGCCAGGGCCAGATTTTGTTTTGAAGTTTCAGTGCACAGGCATGCTTTATTGATTGATTACCCATATGGTTGAACTCTCCTCCAGATCCACTGACCCAAAGGCACCACCCTAAATCAAAAGATTGGTCTTTCTGACATAGCCAGCCCCTACCCTACAACTATTGGGTGTGGCCAAGCCCACCCCAAGATCTACTGAGGCCAGCCTCCATCCTAAACAAAGACACTTCTATCAGATATGGCCTAGATTACCTCCCAGAAGTGGAGTGCAAAGGCCAGACCCCTGTAGGCAAGGCCAAAGTATTTACTACACAGGCCAGAACAGTGATATTCCAATACATAGTTGAGGGATCTCAACTTAATAAGCCATATTGCTGCTATTTCTATCCTACCAGTTCCCAAATAGAATCTAAGGTAGTTTTCAAAAATACGTAGACTATTGCAGTGATATTGTTAACTTGAAGAAGAGAAGAAAAAAAAGTAGGGTAAGGCTATAAAATGGAAAAGGAATAAAGCTAGTGTGCAAATTGTACCATAAAGTTTTATATACTTGACGAGGTGAATCATGTATTTGAGTCCTAACTTTCCAGCTGCCAATGTGGAGGGAAATACATTATGATTCACAGTGTCTATCAGATAGAAACAAATCAATTGTTTAGGGAAACATTTGGGTGATACCCAGTAAAGATCTCAATATAGTCTGTAATGAGCAGACATATCTGCAATCTTTCTACATTGTCCTTACAGTCAACAAGATAAATTTTATAAAATTGGTTCCTGAGGGGGCTCAATTCAGGTTGACATCATCAAATGAAGTATACAACTTGGGAAAGGACAAGCAAATTCTGCAGTAAAGTAGGGACAGGGAGGTGGCTCTCTGCAGCACAGTATATACAACTCATCAGTTTAGAGGTTTTTAGTTTAACCAAGCAGTCAGTTGTTTGTATTTTGCTGCTTTCATAAGTTGGTACTTTGGAAAATTTACTTAGTAATCCTAAACTTGCATTTTGTTCATTATCTTTTAAAAACCTTGATATCTTAATACATTGAGTATTTTTTGTTGAAAGTTTATTAAATACTGTAACATTTGATCAAGGGAGGAAAATACCACCCCCCCCCCCCCAGTTCTGTCACCAGTTCTTATTTAGTCTTTTTTTAACAAAATAAGAAGAAATATTCTAATAACTGTTAAAGTTTTTAATTATTTTTAATTTTCCAGAAACACATTTTTAGTCAAGGTTGAGAAAAATTTATTCCATGATATCCTTATACTACTATTGTTTGGAATTAACATTCTTGAAAATTGAAATTTAACAATTAGAACTTTGTTTTCAGTAATATAGAATTGAAAGATTAAAAAGAAATACATTTCTCCTTAGATCAGCATCTAAGGTTTAGTTATGAAAGACTATGTTTTCTAAAAGTCAATTCTTTACTTATGGATTGTTGTCTCCTGCTATATTTCACTTTATGGAGTTGATATATTAATAAAAATTTCTAGAGGTTACTTTCTTTAATATTTAAATTTCTGTTTCTATCAAAATTTAAGAATAAATTTAAGAGTACAATAAAATTTCATAACTTATAAAAATAAATGTTTTAATAAGCTAATAACTAAGTTACAAATCACAAATTATTAACCAATTATTGAAGTAACATATCAACATTTTCATTCCTCAGATCTCTACCACAGAGTTCAGTTACTGATATGTTGCCTATTCCTCTATATTTACTGCGGATAACTACTGTTAACTACTTAAATACTGACTTGGGGATGGCTTCTTATTCTTAAATTGTCTCTCCTGTGCTTTTTTTCTTTAAGCTCTGGATTCCCTTCATTGTCCTGTGGAAGTAGCAGTAGCAGTTCATCAAACACGGCAGTGAATTCTCCTGCTATGTCCTATAGACTCAGCATTGGTGAATCAGTCACCAACCGACGAGATTCCACTGTCACCTTCAGTAGCACCATGAGCTTGGCTAAACTGCTACAAGAGCGAGGCATTTCTGCCAAAGTATACCACAGCCAAGTTTCAGAGAACCCCCTCCTTCAGCCTCTCCCTAAATCCCTGGCTATCCCTTCCACGCCCCCAAATTCACCATCTCACTCACCTTGCCCTTCTCCTTTGCCCTTTGAGTCTCGAGTACACCTCTCTGAAAATTTTTTGGCCTCCCGACCGGCTGAAACATTCCTCCAAGAGATGTATGGCTTGAGACCTTCCCGGAACCCTCCTGATGTTGGCCAGTTGAAGATGAACTTAGTGGACAGGCTGAAGAGACTGGGGATAGCCAGAGTGATCAAGACCCCTGATGCCCAAGAAGATGGAAGAGGCCAAGAGGCAGAAATTGGTCTTCGAAGACCAGACTCTACTGTTTATTTAAATTCAGGTAGCAATTTATTAAGTGGGTTGAGGAGGAATCAGAGTCTTCCCATTATGATGGGTAGTTTTGGCACCTCAGTTTGCACATCCTCACCTAAAATGGATATCCTGAAGGAGGACTGAGGTTCAGCAGTGAACTGAACTTGTACACAAATTAGCACATGAAGGATAGATTTGCACTGATACATGTGGTCTGGTCTAACTGAGAAAAGAAATGTTGCAGAGGGGTTGTGAATGTGGGAAGAGGAAAACGAAAGTTTAGGAACAGTTGGGATGAGACCCTAATGAATGAGGTCTCATAAATTGAAAGTATAAATGAATGGGTCATGAGTGGAGATGGAAAAGGGACAAAGGTTTAATATACTCCTTAAGTTGGGTTTTCTTGTGTCAAAAATAAAGTGACCAGAAAAGAAATTTTGTAATACTGAAATATACCAGGAATACTTACTTTGCTAGCCCATTTACTTCTGGTAAGCATAAGCAGAGACCACTCAGGTCAGGAGGAGGTGGGAAGAGAAAAGTAGCAGCTTTGACTGTTGCCTCGAGAAAGTTGTTCTGGAAGGCTGCTGGGTTGAATAAGCTCAGTCTGTTACTGAGACAACAGTGAGGTGGCTTTTATGTTTTCCCCTGTTGATGTCTGGTTAAATTGCACTCCCACCAAACGGCAAGCTCACAGCATTGGCAAGCAAGGAATTTTACCCTTTTAATAGAGTTGCTCTCTATTTCAGTCTCTGGGAGCCCAAACACCACCCAAATTCCTTTTGTATTTGTGATTATTTTATTATCTTTTTTAAAATTTGTATTTTTATACAACATCCAAAAAAACACAACATTGGGTGCGGTATTTTAAGAAGGAAATAAGGGTTAATTGGAACTTTTTTGCAGGATATTTCTTCTGGTAAGTGTAGTGGCCAAGGAATATCAACATAATTGGATTTCCTTGGAGGCTGGATGGGGTTAAATCAGAAGTACAATCAGGAATTAGAGAATGTTGAATATGTATGTCTATACATTTTAACAAGGAAAGTTGGTTGCAACTAAACTTTTCCAAAGTGCTATGCATATTTTTAATGAAAGAGGACCTGTATTTGCACAAAAATTCTCAGGCACATTAAATTATTTATTATAAGCTGAAGTAAAACCCAGGTGCTTGCTTTGAGACTGGTTTTTTAATGTAAAATAAAGTTAAAACACATCTGCCTTTTTCTAGATATCTGTGAAATTATAGAAAAAACTTTTTAATCGGGGAGTCAGAGCTTTTGCTTTTTCTCTGTATTTTTGTTTTGTGTTTTACAAAATATGTGAAATAGCACAATGAAACTTGGGAAATTTGTTTTCAGCATTCAGCATTGTGACAAATTGGCTTTGAATTGGGAAGAAACAGATCTGCTTTCTGGGTGTTGCTGATCAAGGTCTGCTCATCAGAGGGCATGGCTTTCTTTAAACGGCAGTGCAGAAAGAAGTACCTGTGAGAGGCAGGGTGGAGAGAAAATGAGGAATGAGGCTAATTAATTTAATTTTGAAAATGGAGGCTCTAACTTACTTTTTGGTGCTTAATTGACACATGTTTTGCTCCTTTGTTTGGACTTAACTGAAAGGAATTTTCTGAATTATTGGTAAGAGTCTTGCTCCTATGGTTCCCACTGGTCAGAGGTGGGTCCTTTCTCTCTTCTCTTGAGGTGCCTTTCCTACATGAATAACTATGTGCTCAAAGGGATAGAAAAACCAACATCATGCAGTGGTAAGAATGTGTGAGTTCTCCATGCTTTTTAGAATCTTTCAATAAAACTTTTCTAGGTAAATTTCTTAAAAACAGAAAGTGAAAGTATCATCCCCTTTTCTCTCCCCTTCTCTCAGTCATGCTGAGGTCAGCAGACGGTACACATACATATTTGAAAAGGATTTCATCAGGTCAGTCGGTGAATGTCAGTGTCCCTGAATGTGGTAGGCATTGGCCAGAAGAATTCCTGATGTTATGTTTCTAAAATATCCCACTTAGCTTTTTTAAAAACAGTGTTTGAGTTTCTACTTCATAAAGTAACTCTGGGGTACTTATTTCTGCTGAATCTTAAAGCTTTTTATTTATTCTCTAAGTAATCTTCCTGTTGCCAGTTCCTAAGAGACATCAGGAAGTAAGAAAATGTAGGGCCCAGAGTAGTACAAAATGTTAAATTATGAGAGTTATGTCTATTATATAAATATCTATAAATTAAATACTATAAATTAAGATTTTGGAGTGTTCTGTATCATCAGTATACTTTTCTATAACCAATGTTAAAGTGATCACTTTGGAAGCAGGGCAAGGGTGTATTCACAGCCAAATAAAGCACACGTGATTAAAGAGAACCAGGCTTAAGTTTTTTGAAAATTAGATTGATGTTGATATTCCACCAGAATCATGATAATTATATACTTGTGCATGCCTGTCCCTAGAAATAAATTCTGTCTTGAGTTGGGTTTTACTGTTTTCTGAAGTTTCTGCGTAAAATTGTTTTCGGTACAGCCTGAGAATCTCTATATTATAACAAACTGCGCAAATTATAGTAAGAAGAACTGAGCCATGGTAGCCAGTTCCTCCTCAGTTATCTTATGCTTTAACATTTCAGTTTTTCTATATTAACTGTATGTACTTTTATGCCAGTATAGGAAGCTCCAGTCTTTATTTTCCTCCTTCAAGAAGGTTCTCAGTGATTATACCTCAGGTATTTCTGAGTATCCTATTATATAGTAGGAAGGATAGCTTCCTAAGCTCAGAATTAAAGGTTCTCCTGAATTAAGATGATCCCAAATCTTCTGTAAATAACCTTAGGCATGCATCTTAGGAAAAAGTTAGTGAACATTGTTAAACTAGTTTTTTAAAAAGTTTTATACTATATATCCTTGATTTGACACAAATAAACAGACTTTGGCAAAGGGAGGAAATAAGAGTTAGCTCACAACAAGAGACTCTTCTCTGTAAAGGGTATATTATATACAGTATTCAAAGCCTGTTTTCATTCTTGTTTTCTGACCACTCTAATACATAATTAGTAGAACTTGTTGGTTACTAACATTGACTTTTGACACCTGAACTACAGCTCTGAGTGTGTAATGGTCCACTTCTTTGATGTCACCTGTACTCTGAGTGTAACACCATGGTGTCTACGCTGAGTGGTTTGCATTGCAGAGCACAGCAGCTCAGGAGCGGCAGAGTGCCCGCTGGACAGCCAGGGAAATACTGTGGTTTGATATCTGGGGCTTGCTTGACTTTGTCAACAGCTCTTTGTTGCACCTACCTTTGCTTTGTCAAATGTAAATCAGATAATAAACATAATAAACATGTGTATCTTAAATTTTCATTTGTCTTCCTGTGTATTTGTCCTAGTTCTTTTCACTGATAGTCCTGCATGAATGAAGTCTTTCCTTTCCGTTGTGTTGTGTTTTTTGAGGGTTTTTTTTTTTTTTGTTACAGAAAACGACCTCTATTTGCCAAAGCAACACAAAACAAGCCAACAATAGTCATAAGTAGTAAACAGATACTATTGTATTTTCTTAGATATTTGAAACATATATAGAATACAGGGAGTGTCTATATATGCCATATTTTTCCTTAGCAAAGTAACGGCAACAAAAGATAAAATCTGAAGTCATTAATAATGCAGATCTTTTTTTAAAATTAATTTATTTTTGTTACAGATGTTTCTCCTTTTTCCCTCCCTGATCCCCCCCCCCCCCCAAATAATGCAGATCTTTAACTTGAAGACTAAGGAAGTGTGAAGCAGTTCTTTTCTTGCAGTCTAAAATATACTGTTCATATTCTGTAACCACACAGAAACTTCATTTTTTTTAATTATAAATTTATCTCTGTTGTTGAAAGAATTATAGATGCCCCCCCTTTCTTCCCCACCTTCTCCTGCTTTCCCCAATCTAATATCTGTTTCCATTGCTTCTGCATATATGCATGTAAGTTCTTTGGTTTATGTCTTCCCCCCCCCCCCCCCATCCCTTAATAGGACTTTTTCTCCCTTCTTTCCTTTTGATTCAAACTGCCCTCATCCAGCACCCTGATTCACCTTGCCTCCTCCCTTGCACACCCACTTCCTTAATCATTAAGCCCTCAAGACAATGAAGTTTTGATTAGCATCAAATAATCTTAGCAACAAGACTGACCACAGAGACAAAATTTCCATCAAACTAGAGATAATGTCTAGGCCTCAGTTGTGTTTCAGCTTCAAGCCCAGAAAAAACGATGAGATCAGATGAAACAAGGTCATGGCTGACATCAAGACCAGAGGCACTAACCAGTCAGTAGAGACCATAACCCAGACCATGACCCTCAGTCTCTCATTCACCCTGATTAATGATTTTCCCCCTTTATAACCCATCCCCTGGAAGCCCTTGGGTTCTTTAAGCATTAGCTCATCTGTGACTCTGGGAGTGGGCCACTTCCTAATAAACCCTTACTTTCTTTGCTGAAATTCCTGTTCATGTCTTACTAGGCTTTGATGTGTGCAAGCTAATGGACCTCTTTAGTCCGGTAACAATTTTTAGCTATTTAGAAACATTCCAAGAAACTAAATTTGAAAATTGTTGGATTGTAGTAGAAAAAGTCATTTGATATCATCTTTATCACAATTTAATTGCTGTATATATTGTTTTAATTCATTTAATATCCACTTAGAATTATAAATATTTTGTGAGGAGTAAATGAAGTATGAGTCTCTACTTCTTTGATATGATATTTAGTGATATTCCCAGCATCTTTAATTGTATTTTTTTCACAAACCATTCTCAGTAGAAATGTTTAAGTCCAATAACTGATGAGGGTAAAGATTGGATGCTTTCAGCATTCTTTTCACTTCCATCTCTGTTTTTATTAAGTTTGAGTTATGCTAGTATCAAGTTCTGGTTTTCATTAAGTTTTTTTCTTTTAAAATAAGGGCCAAATGCCTGGCTGTTGTGGCTCAGTGTTTGAGCGTCGACCCATGCACCAAGAAGTTGCCGGTTTGATTCCTGATCAGGGCACGTGTGGGCCCAATCCCCAGTGGGGGCATGCAGGAAGCGGCCAATCAGTGTTCTCTCTCATCGATGTTTCAGTCTCTTTCTCCTTCTCCCTTCCTCTCTCTCTAATATCAATAATGAAAAAAAAAAAAGGCCAAATGCCATAAAATTTTCAAGTGAACAAATGTTGCATTGCAGGTTTGGCGAAGATGCTATAAAATACAAAGCATTGTTGCTAGCAATAGCATGAAGTGTTTTGTCCTTCAGTGTGAGAAAGTATGAGTAGAGTGCACCAAAGGTGATGTGAGATTAGAGAAAAAATACGGAAAAGCCAAATCATAAAATTCCAAGTATTATTTTACAAAATTTATTTTTCTTGCCTTCTCCGCAAAATCACTGATCTTAGTAGCAGCAGTGCTCTTCCTCAGCCTTTGGAAAGAAAACAGCCTTCCATGCAATGCCAAAGTTTATCTGAATTCAACCAAAGAGAAGAACAGTTAACACAGCCTCCAGACGCCTTCATTTCCTTCCCTTCTGCCATTATAGAGCTGACAAAGTTGTACCAAAGTCTAAAACAAGTAAAGAAGGGAAAAAATACCAAAGAAATAATTAGTGCTAAGTTTTGGCCAAGTCAAGTGGCTGGGGTTTTCCTTCAGAACCTGCTTCTTTTGCAACTTTGTTTTGAGCCACTCTTCACATAAAACCCAAATCCTGCTCTTTTTAAATCATAAGAAAATATTTAAATATAAAATGTCACAGAACAGACTCAAAGTAAATATCCATTGTTTTCTTTGTAACTTTTCCCCCTCCCTTTTAGCTTTAAAGTCCATCTCCATCTAGTCTGCTCTTGGTGCTTGGATCTGTGGCAGCCAGGGTGCAACCCCAGGGCTCCCCTCAGCACACTGAGGTTGGCATGACAGAAAAATAGAACCCAGTTCTTCTATGGCATTGCTGAGTCTGCATCAATTCTGGTAGTACCACCTCCATACTTCGCAGTTCGTGAAATTACCAAACCTCTTTGATTTAAGACACTCATTAAAGTGATAGTTGTGCATGTTTTAACTGACATGTGGCCCACACTTTGAAGAACATTAGTGTTCTTCGGCTCTATTCTAGACCCTCTTCTTTCCCTTCTTATTCACTCCCTTGGCTTTAAATATTTACTCTGAAGACTCCTAAAGTGTTTCTAGCCCAGACTCTTCTTTGGAATTACCAAACATATAATAGACTTCACCACTTGGATGTCTCCTTGGCATCTCAAACTCAGCATGTCCAAGCCTGAAGTGGGCTCGCCTCCCCTGAGCCTGTTTACCCCCAGACTCTCCCATCTCAATAAATGGCACTGCCACCTACTCAATTGTTTAAGTTAGAAACTAAGGAGTCATCATCGCCTCCTCTCTCCCTCATCCTGACACCAGGTGGTGATCAAAGCCTGCTGCATCCTCCACTCTCAATCCCCTGCTGCTCCCTCAGGTAAGGCCACCATTGCGCCTCATTTGATCACTACATTGATTTCCCTGCATCCTGTCTTGGCCTCTTTGATTGTTTCTCTGCATTGCAGTCAGAGTGATCTTTCTAATATGCAAAGCTAGTCAGATCCCTTCTCTGATTAAAACTGCTGTCTGACTCATTTAGAAGAGAAATCCTGCCATACACGCCCATTACATCTGGTGAGGACCGTAATGTCAGTTTCATTGTGCTTTTATTGAACTTCCTGTGTCCCCCACTAGTTTCTATGCTCTATGAAACACAGTAACTGATGTATATCCCTCATCTCACAAAAGTGCCTGGCATGCAGTAGATAATAATGTGGGGTAGAATGAATGGATGAATTTATATCACTGTTTATAAACTATGGATTGTGACCCATCAGTGGATCATGAAATTAATCTAGTGGATTTATAATCAGCTTTCATTTCAAGTAAAAGGAAAAAAAATTATTGAGAATAGTATGTGACAAGGGTATTAGTTCATACAACTTTTTATTGTAAAGTGTGTAAAATAGCCCTGGCTGATTTGGCTCAGCCATTAGAATATTTGCTCTCAGACCAAAGGGTCGCAGGTTTGATTCCAGTCAAGGGCATGTACCCGGACTGCAGGCTCAATCCCCAGTCACGGTCCTGCAGGAGGCAACCAATTGATGTGTCTCTCTCACAATATTTCTCTCCCTCCTTCCCTTCTTCCCTTCCAGTCTATCTAAAAATCAATGGGAAAATATTCTCAGGTGAGGATTAAAAAAATTGTGTAAAATATATTTCTTATAGTGAGTTTCGGTAAAATAAAATGAAAGTCACTGGTTTATAAAAAACATTTTTTTCCCCCTGTCTGTAATGACAAAAAGCAGCCTTATTTAGGGGGGGAAAAATCTGAACTCTTAGCAACTGGAAATGACTCCAGCCCTTGGGGATTTGCACTTTTATAGATTTCAAAGCTTGAAATTCAAGGAAGAAAGTGCCTACTTTAGAGTTTTAGGTTTCTGTGAGCAAATGACAGAGATAGTTAAACTCCATCACAGATTCTGTCTGGCAACTACTGCCATAGGTCAATTAAGCCTCAGAGTGCTGTTTAATTCTATTTCCTCTGAAAGTATATCTTAAGCATATTTTGTCTTATGTCTTAGAGAATTTCTTAACTGGTTGCTTCTTCAGTCTTCTTTCTTTAAGAGCAGAGTGCCTGAGCAAATGAGGTGCTGCCATTCTGTTTCCATAGCAATAAAAGAAACAAACTTTCACCAACCATCTACCAAGGACAAACCTCACAATTCAAGTCCCAAGTCAAGAAAGTATGAATAGAAGGGTGATTTTCTCCCCTACTTTGACTTTATTGCAATATTGAAAAACTCAAACTAGATTGTCTTTAGAAGAAAGTATGAATAGAAGGGTGACTTTCTCCCCTACTTTAACTTTATTGCAATATTGAAAAACTCAAACTAGATTGTCTTTAGAAAAGACATTCATGTTCATGCCAGTTCAGCCTTTGTAAAAATTGGATTCACTGGAAATCTGTCTCTCTGCACTACATTTTATTCTTTGACATTTCAATCACTCGGAATGACTACTAAAATCTTGAGCTCTGGAACCTCTGGATTTGACCTAAAACTAATTTTGATTTTGTTTTGATGGGAAACAGTTTCTCTATAACACTGGGGTATCTTTAAGACTCTCAACTTGGGAAGAAACCACATGAGGAAAACAAATCTTTGGACAGTCCAAGGTAAGCTCTTTGGAAAAGATGTTTTATGTAATTATTTTCTTCTGATTATTAATACTAACCAGTGACACCCAGCCGGTGTGGCTCAGTGGATTGAGCATCATCCCATGGACTGAAAGGTCCCAGGTCCATTCCTGGTCAGGGACATGCCCAGGTTTTGGGCTCGATTCCCAGTAGAAGGTGTGCAGGAGGCAGCCAATCGATGTTTCTACCTCTCTCTAAAAAAATAAAAATAAAAAATAAAAAAATAAAATCAATAAAAAAGCATTTAAAAAACAAAAAAAACTAACCAGTGACCTTTCTGAAGGCTCAGCTGGTTCACTAATGACCACCAGGTGGCACACTGAGTCCACTGATCCTCAGGTAAAACCATCAGGAAGAGATGCAAAAAAGGAAAAGAATGGAGAAAAATAAATCCTAAATCACACGTGCATGTGTGCACTCCCACATGCACACATACATCCTTATATTCTTAGAGCCACACAATGCAACATCAAGCCACTGTGAATATAGCAGATCTATCTACTAATATGGAAATATCTACTAGATATCCTCTTATGCAAAAAGAACAAGGCATGGCATAGGGTGTAAAGTATGCTCTCATTTATGTAAAAACTTTTAAGTATTATTTCATAAAATTTATTTTGCTTGCCTTATCAGCAAAATCACTAATGTTAGTAGCATCAATTCTCTTCCCTCAGCTTTTGAAAAGAAAACAGCCTTCCATGCAATGCCAAAGTTTACCTGAATTCAACCAAAGAGAAGAACAGTTAACACAGCCCCCCAAAGCTTTCATTTCCTTCCCTTCTGCCATTATGAAGCTGACAAAGTTGTACTAAGGTCTAAAACGAGTAAAGAAAAAAAAAATTCCAAAGAAGTGGTAATTAGTGCTAAACTTTGGCCAAGTTAAGTGGCTGGGGTTTTCCTTCAGAATCTGCTTCTTTTGTAGCTTTGTTTTTTTGTTTTTGTTTTTTGTTTTTTAAAATCTTTATTGTTGAATGTAGAATGTATTACAGATGTTCCACATTTTTCCCCCATTGACCCCCTCCTCCCCACTCCCGCCCCCCTCCCGCCTTTTCCCACACTATTGTCTGTGTTCATTGGTTATGCATATAAGTTCTTTAGTTTATTTCTTCCCACCCCTCCAACCCCTTTCCTTTTGAGGTTTGTCAGTCTAGCAATGAATTTGTACTTCCTAATCCCTTCACCTTTTCCACCCATTCCCCCAAACCCCCTCCCATCTGGCAACCAACAAAATGTACTCTGTATCTATGAGAATGTTTCTGTTCTACCTGTTCATTTTGTTTGTAGATTCCATTGTTGATAGATATGTATTCATTGCCATTTTGTTTGTTCATATATTTTATTTTTTTCTTCAAAAAGACCCTTCATCGTTTCATATAATAACGGTTTGGTGGTGATGAACTCTTTTAACTTTTTCTTGTCTGGGAAACTCTTTATATGGCCATCGATTCTAAATGACAGCTTTGCAGGATAGAGTAATCTTGGTTGTAGGTTCTTGCTCTTCATCACTCTGAATATTTCTTGCCACTTCTTTCTGGCCTGCAAAGTTTCTTTTGAGAAATCAGCTGACAGTCTTATGGGAACTCCCTTGTAGGTAACTAGCTGCCTTTCTCTTGCTGCTTTTAAGATTCTCTCTTTGTCTTGAACCTTTTGCATTTTGATGATGATGTGTCTTGGTGTGGGCCTCTTGGGGTTCATCTTGTTTGGGACTCTCTGTGCTTCCTGGACTTGTATGTCTGTTTCCTTCACCAAGTTAGGAAAGTTTTCTGCCATTATTGTTTCAAACAGGTTTTCGATTTCTTGTTCTCGCTCTTCTCCTTCTGGCACCCCCAAGATGGCGAATGTTGGCACGCTTGAAGTTGTACCAGAGGCTCCTTACACTATCCTCATATTTTGGATTCTTTTTGCTGTTCTGATTGGGCGTTTTTTGCTTCCTTATATTCCTAATCGATGGTTTGCTTCTTGGATTTACGTACTCTACTGTTGAATCTGTGTAAATTATTCTTTATTTCAGTTAATGCCTCCTTCAATTCTGACTGTGCATCCATCATTTCTGACTGGTCCTTTTTTATGCTCTTGAGGCTCTCACTAAGTTCACTGAGGTTCTCACTGAGTTAATTGAGCATCCTTATAAGCAGTATTTTGAACTCAGCATCTGTTAGGTTGCTTATCTCCATTTCGCTTAGTTCTTTTCTTGGGGTTTTGTTCTGTTCTTTCATTTGAAACCTGTTTCTTTGTCTCCTCATTTTGGCTGCCTCCCTGTGTTTGTTTCTATGTATTACTTAACGAGCGGTATGGGGCTAGCTGAGACCAGATGCTGCTTGTTTGAAAGAATTTAGGAAAAACCTGAAGCAGGATCCAAGACAGGCCAATCCTATGGTTAAGCAAGTGGCAACAGCTTGGGTGGGCCTGAAAGTCGGGTGGGTCAGGGCGGGGCCTCAGGGAGTCAGCAGGGTGGGGCTACCAGTGTGAGCCAGGTTGCTGGAGTCCCAGATATGGCTTCCGTCTGCCACCCCAGGGAAGGGCTCACCAAAGGAACAGAGGCCTCTGACAGCACGTTTGTCCCGGAGAAAGCCCCCTCTCCCGTGCCAAACAGCTCAGTTCTTCCCTGTATGTCTCTGGTGCCCCTGGAGCTGCCTCCCCTCCAAGCTTAGAGGGAGAGAGTCCGATATGTCCGTGCGCGGGCCCTTTAAGGAGCTGCCTGGGGCTCCAGCTGCCTCAGCCTCCCTGAGCCTCAGTTCCCACTGGTTTTTCCAGCCAGAAGTTATGGGGACTTCTCTTCCTGGCACTGGAACCCTGAGCAGGGCATCTGGTGTGGGACAGGGACCCCTCAGTCCTCAGGAAGGACCTTCCCAGCCGAGGTGTCCTCCTGATTTTTATCCGCCACACGTGGGTGTGGGACCAGCCCGTCTCGCCACCGGCCCTCGTGCCTCCACCCCTCCTACCAGTCTGGATGTGGCTGCTGCTTTAATTCTGTAGTTGTAGGACTTCCATTCAGCTTGGTGTCAGGTGGTTTTGAATGATGGTTGTTCTGTAGTTTAGTTGTAACTTTGATGTGGTTGTGGGAGGACGCGATACCACCTTTACCTACCCGCCATCTTGACCGGAAGACCTGTAGCTTTGTTTTGAGCCGCTCTTCACATAAGACCCAAACTCTGCTTTTTTAATTCATAAGAAAACATTTAAATATAAAATGTCACACAATAGACTCAAAGTAAATATCCAGTCTCTAGCTGGATAGAGATTGTTCTCTTTGTAACGTTTTCCCCTCCTTTTAGCTTTGAAGTCTGTCTCCATCTAGTCTGCTCTTGGTGTTTGGATTTGTAACAACTATTGTGCTAGCCAATGCTCTAACCTCTGTGTAAACCAACCAGGGCTAGACTAGAGAGAATTCTAGAAGACACTAACCAACATATTCCCAGTGGTCCTTTCTAGGTGTTAGTATTTTGGATAAATTTTCAGATTATAATCTTCTTTACAATGAGCCTATTTCAATTTAATACACACACACACACACAAAATAAACCTATTCTCCCCCCCACCCCAATTTTAGAAATAGAAGCTTCTGTAAACAAAATACTGCTGGGGTCATAATATTCCTAAACTCAGTTACCAGTTTTTGAGAACCTAATGTGTGTAAGCAGTGTGCCAAGAGCTTTCCTGACATGGTCTTATTTCATGTGCAGGACAGCCCAGTGAGGGCTGAACTCCCATGAGCCCATTTTCCAGACAGGAAGCTGAGACTCAGGAAAAGAAAAGTTGATTTATTGAGGTCCCACAGCTGATAAGCAAAGGAGCCTCTGTGCAAAGTCAGGCCCATCTGACTTCATAATTGTATCCATTGCATACATATCATCTTATATCTTCTTTAAAAATATGTCTTTATTATTTATTTATTGCATTCAAAGCTTTTTAAAAATATTTTTTTACTGTTAAAAGTATTATAGATGTCCTCCTTTTTTCCCATTGAACCCCTCCTTCCCTCTCCCACCCCGCTCCTTCCTTCCCAAGCCTAGTGTCTGAGTCAATTGGTTGTGCGTATATGCATATAAATCCTTTGGTTTATCTCTTCCCACCCTGACCCCCGACCCCCATTCCTTCTGAGGTTTGTCAGTCTGTCCCCTACTTCCATGTCTCTGGATCTATTTTGGTCAACAGCTTACTTTGTTCATTGTGTTCCACAAATAAGTGAGATCATGTGGTACTGATCTTTCTCTGACTGGCTTATTTCACTTAGCATAATACTCTCCAGGTCCCTCCATTCCTTCTCAAAAGGTAAGAGATCGTTCTTTCTTTGAGCTGCATAATTTTCCATTGTGTATGTGTACCAACAGCTTTTTAATTCACTCATATACTAATGGACACTTGGGCAGCTTCCTTAGCTATTGTAAATAGTGCTGCTATGAACATGGGGGTACATATATTCTTCCTGATTAGTGTTTCAGGCTTCTTAGGGTATATTCCTAGAAGTGGGATCACTGGGTCAAATGGTAGTTCAATTTTTAATTTTTTGAGGTAACACCATATTGTTTTCCACAGCGGCTGCACCAGTCTGCATTCCCACCAGCAGTGCACTAGAGTCCCCTTTTCGCCACACCCTCGCCAACACTTGTTTGATGATTTGTGGATGGCGGCCATTCTGACAGGTGTGAGATGATACCTCATTGTTATTTTAATTTGCATCTCTCCGATGATTAGTGATGTTGAGCATTTCTTCATATGTCTCTTGGCCATTTGTATGTCCTGTTTGGAGAGGGGTCTATTCAGCTCCTCTGCCCATTTTTAATTGGACTGTTTGTCTTCCTTTTGTTGAGCTGTACGAGTACTCTATATATTTTGGATATTAACCCTTATTTAGTGTATCATTGGCAAATATGTTCTCCCAGAGAGTGGGTTCCCTTTTCATTTTGATGCTGGTTTCTTTTGCCTTGCAGAAGCTTTTTAGTTTGATGTAGTGCCATTTATTAATTTTTCCCTTTGTTTCTCTTACCTTAGGCAATATATCAGTGAAAATTCTGCTGTGTATGATGTCTGAGATTTTTCTGTCTACATTTTCTTCTAAGATTTTTATGGTTTCACAGGTTACATTTAAGTCTTTCATCCATTTTGAGTTTATTCTTGTGCATGGTGTAAGTTGGTGGTCTAGTTTCACCTTTTTGCGTATAAGCTGTTCACTTTTCCCAACACCATTTATTGAAGAGTTTGTCTTTTCTCCATACCATCTTATTTATATCTTTGTTCATGAGCATTTTCCTCATGTTTCTACAGGCTTTCAAGTGGTCATTTATAATCTAATAGAACTCCATTGAGCAGTTATACCCTAACAACTTACCTATGCATTTTGTTTTATTTGTTTTTATTTTTCTATTTTTGCTACCCTTCACCTCATCGCCCTCCCTCGAAGGAAGGCTTCAGGCTCTCCGTGCTCTCACCAGCCCTGTCTCAGTCCCGCGCTTTCCCTTCCCGACATGCTCCAAGGGAGGGGGCGGTGCACGCCCCGGCGGTAAGTGCGCGCGCCGGAAGCCTGCGCCTGCGCAGGTGCGCAAGGCCGCGCGCCGCGGTCCTGAGCGTGGTCCCGGAAGTAGTCGTGGCACTTTTTGTGTGGGGAGATCGGACTGGGACAGCCCTTCCTGAGCGCTTGTGGCCCGCAGGCGCTGCTCCAGGCCGACCCACAGACTCCTTGTGTCGCCGCCCACAGCCGGTGCCAGCACGTCGGGTGCGGGCGGTCTCCAGTCCCTGTAGGCGGCGCGCTGGTCTGCCGGCATTTTTAATTCTAATTTTTAATGTTATCTATACAGTAATATTGTAATGACCGTTACATTTGTGCCGTTTCGTCTGTGGATCTGTTTCTCTGTTGAGCCGGGCCCTGTGGTTACAGTCACCCAATTTACTACTCCAGCAACAAATATTTATCCAGTACTCATTGCTGACAAGTTGCCTTGCAGGCCTTGGGGCGGCACAGAGAGTGCCAAGGTGAAGTCCAGGCCTTCAAGAATGGTACCGTCCAGGCCTTCAAGAATGGTACCGTCCACTGCAGAACGTCCTGGGGGCGGTGCCCTGTTCCCTCCAGCCTGGACCTGCGCTCCTGCCAGCTGGCTGAGTCCCACTCTGGGGGCACGTCCTCGCTCTGCTGCTGCTTCCTGGAGGGCCCCTGTGTGTGTGCAGTGACCCCCAGGAGCCCAGTCTGTGCCTGGCCTCTCTGGGTAGAGGAGCAAGTGGCCACACAGCCACATCTCCTGGCACTCAACTGTAGTGCCACCCTTAATGACCCCTCCTGCCTTGCGTTCACACCCTTGACCTTGGAAGCCAGAGCAGCTGACAGGAGTCCTTGCCTGGGGGCCAGCAGAGCCAGTAGACTCATCCAGTGGACCTGCTGGGACAGCCTAGAGACGGGCTGCAGTTTCTGTTCTTCACAGTCCTGAAGTGTTAGTTTACTTGAAGCTGTTTGGTTTTGAGGTTTTCTTTTTGTGTTTCTTTCTTTTGAGGTTTTTTTTTTTTTTTTTTTCTTTCAAAATAGAAGGAGCGGGCCTCAGAAGGAAAGCGTTGGGTCTGCACCCTCCTCCGTGGGAACTGGCGGGACATGCATGGTGGGTGCTGACCAGGCCAGCTGATGTACAACCTACTGCCCTTCCCAGCCCCTCCCAGAGGCTCCCGCAGTCCATTCTGCCCTCACACCGATGGCTCTTGTGAACAGAAACATTGGAGACCTTAAAAAAAAAAGTATTAAAAGAAGAATGGCACATCACAGTCCAGATGAGCAGGCAAGAAATGGAACAGGAAAAACAGTTAGTTCCTGGGAGCTGGCCTGCCTTAGCCTTTCACTTCCTGCCTCAGGATTGGCCCTTGTCCTCACAGGACAAGATCCTAAGCAGAAGGGGAGCTACTGCTTTGCTATTGCTGCAGCCTCCTTTTACATTCTTACCCCAAAGCCCCTGTGGCATTTTCTTGTCTGGGGTGCTCCACCCATCTGCTTCCTTGACCTCATGTCCCTGAGATCTGACCAGGGCCCCAAACACAGGAGAGCATAAACAGCTAGATATGGCGGCTCTGTCACCTGGTCTTTAGGTCTTTGCTGTTTACCCAGCCTCCTGGCCTCCTTTCTAGCCCTAATCTCCTCCATGTGTGCCCTGAGCCCAAATCTCTGGCCAGCCCCTCCTGCCTTTACCTACCTCTACCTGCACATCCTGCCTTTCGTCAAGGTCTTGTCTCTTGCCCTGGCTCTACAGCTCACTCAGTTCCCTTTCTGACAACTGCCCTAGTACCTGCATGCTATCTGAGGACAAAGTTCAAGTGTTCAGTATCCCCTCAGCACCTGGCGTGGTATTCATAGCAGAAGCGATAAGTATTTGTGCTATTAAATGAGCATGAACAGGTGTCCCAGAGTCATTTCATAACTTGGAGTCTCAGTTCCTAATCTATAAAATGGACTTAATGTTAAGGTCTCCTTTAGCTCTAAAAGTCATTAGACCAAATAACTGGGTTTCTTAAGCATCAGCTATTTAGAGAAATATGTTTGTGTAATTTTTCAGCTGATTCTTAAGCAAATTTATGCCACTGTACTATTGGAAACCAATCAATGACTTAGAGATTTGAGTTAAATCTACTGTCATTGAAATGTTTCTGTTGGTCTCTTGGCTCTCATGACATTTTTTGGTGTTTTAATTTTTATCAAATAATCCACCGATATCATTAAAAGTAAAATCATGTTAAAAATTTATTAATGAAAAGTTATGGTTTCTGCCCCACCCTTCTCAGTTCCACTCCTCAGTGTTCTCTCTGGAGGCAGTTATTTTCAACTTTTTTTGCTATTTCTTTTGGAACTTAATGTCATACTTTTATACAATTTGTCTCTACACTGTTCATTTTTAGACATTCTCTATTGACATACTGCTCTGGTAGATGAGGATTTAACACTTATTCATCCTCCTTCCATGGCCCATTCCTCAAGTGTGATCACAATTCATTTTTTGGTTAAGTCAGTATTAAGTGTTCACGTAAATATGTATGTGTGTATCTTACTATGATTATACTTGCTTTCTTATATGAAATTTTTTTTTTTTTTTTAATCCTCACCCAAGGACATTCTTCCATCCTTTGTTCAGGTAGAGTGGGAGGGAGAGAGAGGAACAGAGAGAGAGAGAGAAACATCGACGTGAAAGGAACACATCGAGTGGCTGCCACCCACACAACCGACCAGGGCCGGGGACAAACTGCAAGCGAGGTACGTGCCCTAAGCGGGAACCGAACCCGGGTCTCTCAGGACCACAGGCCGATGCTCTAACCGCTGAGCCAAACCGGCCAGGGCCTTATACGATATTTTTAACCTGAAGTGATTATGCAATTTTTATTTTAAGTTTCTATTGCTAATTTTTTCCTAAAATTTCTGGTTTTTATTACAAATGCTCTGTGACAAATTACCACACATTTAGTGGCTTACAACGACACTAATGTATTATCTTACAGTTCTGAGATCAGAAATCTGAAAATAGGTCTCACTAGGCTAAAATCAAGGCATTGGCAAGACTTCGTTCCTTCTATAAATTCTATGGGAAAATCATTTCCTTGCCTTTTCCAACTTCTAAAGGCTTCCTGTTTTCCTTGGCTCATGACCCGTTTCTTGGTCACTCCTACCTGACCATTTTCTGACTCTCACCCTCCCACCTTCACTTTATGATGTTTGTGATTACATTAGGCTCACACTAGTAATCCAGATAATGTCCCCATCCCAAAGTCCTTAACTTAATCATAGCTATAAAGCCCCTTTGGCACAAAAATAACATATTCACAGGTTCCAAGGATTAGAATATGGACATATTTTGGGGGGGAAGGAGCATCATTGACCCACCCCATGCTCCAACAGATCTGTGAAATGCCTGTGTCATCAGATAATCTACCAATTCTAAATTCTGAGTCTTTCCGGGCCTTTCACATGGGATTTGGTTCCTTCTGGTTCATACCCCTGTTGCAGGCATATAGGCTGTAGCTTCTTATGGTGTGTTAAGTGAGGAAGTTATTGTGCCAAACTTCTATCGATACCACCTGTGCAGTACTGTCTCCTCTCCCATTCTCTTTGTTTTTATGAAATTAAACCTCTTTTAATCCTGCACTCTCATTTTAGCGGAGTTCTGGAAAATAAATAAACAAGTGTGATCATGTTGATGTGATCATTGTCTTTCATGCAAACTTTCATAATAAGAATATTTGTTTTTATTTTTTTTATCCTCACCCAAGGACATTTTTGCATTTTTCTTCAGAGCGGGAGGGAGAGAGGAAGGAAGAGAGAGAGAAACATCGATGTGAGAGAGACACACTGGTTGCCACCCACATGACTCCCAACCAGGGCTGGGGACAAACTGCAATCGGGGTATGTGCCCTTAGCGAGAACCAGACTCAGGTCTCTCTGGTCCGTGGGCTGACGCTCTAACCTCTGAGCCAAACCAGCCAGGGCTCTTTTTTTTTTTAAATCCCCACCTGAGGATATTTTTCCACTTATCTTCAGATGGAGTGGGAGGGAAGAAGAGAGGGAGGGGGAGACAGAGAGAGAGAGAGAGCAAGAGAGAGAGGTCAATGTGAGAGAGACACATCGATTGGTTGCCTCCTGCATGACCCCAACCAGGGCCGGGGACCAAACCACAACCGAGGTATGTGCCCTTGACCAGAATCAAACCCACAACTCTGGTCCTCAAGCTGATGCTCTTAACTGCTGAGCCAAACCGGGCAGGGCTTTTTTGTTTTTCTTTTTACGAAACCAAGAAGGAAGAGTTTTGACTGTGATTCAAGCAGGTGACCAGGAATGGAAAACTGGGAGATCCAGTTTAATTTGAGTAACAGAGCTAATTTTCCACAAAGTTCTGGGCAGGACCTGCTGTAGCGATTTCTCTTTGTTTCAGTGACTGCTAGTGTGACCTGATGGAAGAGCAAGGGTTGGAGTCAGGTAGACTTATGTTCGTTCCCAACTTTGTAACTTGCTACCTCCACAACCTCTCTGAGCCTCGGTATCCTCATCTGTAAAATTGGGATAAAAATAATCACTTATTGTGTACCTGGCTCACAGTAAGATCTTAGTTATAGCACATTTTAAATTGCTTTCAAGTCAAGCCTATTGGGTGGCAAGGGATAAGGTTTGATTCTATAATCAAGACCCTATACCAGATCAACAGCTTCCAGAATCTACTATCAGTGCTTTGGGCCTTCCCTTGTTTCTTCCCAACTTGTCTGTACCTATTGTTGCTTTGCCTCTGATGGTGTAACTCTCTGTTGTTTTTACTTCCACTTCAGCAATGGCTTCTTGACCTGGCAGCCAAGACTGCCCCAGACCACCTGTCATGTACCCCAACCCTCTCATCTACTGCTCCTGCTGGGACCCCTGGAACTTGGTTCCACGGAAGCCAATCAAGACCCCTCAGCCACCAAGAAAGACCTCCACAGAGAAACCCAAGTAAGGATTACCTGGAATGAACTTGGGCCTGGGGGCTTGGGGTCCTTTTGTAGCCTTCTTTCTCTGACATTATTTCCAAAACAATATGATAGCAAAAATCCCAAGAGGGCCAGAAAGCCTACCTTTACACAGTGTTCTCTGCCAGCCTGTTAGATGCACGTTGCTCTTGCCAGTCCTGCCTAGGCTTAGTGTCATTTTAAATGGGGATGTCTCAGAGCTAGTTGAGCAGAGAAAGGGGGGCTTCCAACCAAAGGGCCCCATAGCAGATGCCCCTCCATGTGGGACCAAGAGCTTTGGGAAATGGGGACGAGCTGTGCTGCCAACCCAGGGACCCTCTAGGACAGTGAACAAGTGCCAGGGTATGCTGCCTGAGGTTGTCAAAGACTGTTTGTTGTCAGCCCTTATATTCCAATTTGGGGTCACTGTGGGCATCTACCTAATCTGGGAGTTGTAAAACAGATTTCTTAATTTCCAATTTTCTTTTTTGTTTTTTTGTTTCAGGCTAAGTCTTCTTCCTCTAGCTTCAAAAAAACAAAATGATGTCCAACCACCAACAAAATCTGTTGTCTCCCCAAAGTAAGTATTTGCATGTCCATGTGGCAGGAATGGTTTGAGGTCTCCCTCCTTGGCCTTCACACCCTTGCCTGACTGAACTAATTGCTTCCAGGAATGCCAGCGAATTGCCAGAACCCACCATGATTTCCCCCAAACCTTAGATCCTACATATAGATTCTGTGGCCCTCTGCACCCCAGCTTTCAAAATCGCTACAAATGCGCTTTTAGCTGAGGCACCCTGACAACTATTTCCTGCCCTAAAAGGGCACAATTTCTGTTGCCTGTTATAGGTTATTAGCCTCCATTGGTAGTATTTCACCTTTTTACTGATTACTTTTCTGTGTCTAAGATTTTCTATAAATCGCAACTGTTTTTACTTACAAATTTAAAATTTTACCCATATTTTATAAGCTTAGAAGTATAATGTAGTTTTATGTCTTTGCATGAGTCTTTGTATTCCATTTATTTAATTATTTGGAAAATACTAATTGAGCATCTATTATTTGCTAAGCACTTTTTCAGGTGTGGTAAACAGCTGTGAACACAACAAAGTCTCTGCTGTCTTAAAGCTTACAGTTATTGATTTATGTATGGAGATCAGGGAAGGTACCCCTGTAAAGGGGACAGCAGGAGCCACACTGACATCTGGGTCAAGTACTCCTAGCAGCGGGAGCAGCAAGTATAAGGACTATGAGTGGGAACTTGCTGGGCACATCTGACCTTTTCCAGGACACAAAGAAACCAGTGTGGTGGGAATGGAGGGAGTGAGGGTAGGGTGGTGAGAAATGACCTCAGAGAAGTAACGAATGTGGTGAATGTGGTTGGCAGAATAATGGTTCTCCAAAGATTTCTATATGCTAATCCCTGGAAGCTGTGACCATGTTCTGTTACTTGCCAAGGGGGAATTAAGATCGCAGATGAAATTATGTTTGCCAAACAGATGACTTGAGAGGGACAGATTATCTTGGATTATCTAATTGGGCCCATGTATATGTAAAGGTCCTTATATGGGAAAGAGGAAGTCAGAGTGTCAGAGAAGGAGATGTGACAATAGAAGCAGAGCTCAGAGTGATGCAGTTATTGGCTTTGAAGATGGAGGAAAAGGCAAGAGAACAGATTTTCTTCTAGAGCCTCCAGCAGAAATACAACCCTGCCAGCACCTTGATTTCCACTGAGGGAGACCCATTGCAGACTTTGATCTCTAAAACTGTAAGATAATAAGTTGGTATTGTTTAAAACCACTAAACTTAGAATAATTTGTTACAGCAGCAATAGGAAATGTACACAGTAAAGTCGCTGGCCACTGTAAGGACTTTGGCTTTTACTCTGAAAGGGATGGTATATCAGCAGCTAGAGCCGCCATAACAACAACAACAAAAGACTGGGTGGTTTAAGCAATAGAAATTTATTTTCTCACAGTCCTGGAAGCTGGAAGACCAAGATCAAGGTGCTGACAGGTTGGTTTCCTCTCAGAACTCTGTTCTTGGCTTGCAGACGGCGGCCTGCTTGCTGCCTCTTCACAGAATCTTTCCTCTGTGCATGTGCAGCTCTGGGGTCTCTCTGTGTGTCCTCATCTCTCTTATGAGGATACCATAAGACTGGTTAAGGCCCACTCTAATGGCCTTATTTCACCCAAAGGCCTTATCTCCAAATAGAGTCATATTCTGAGATACCAGGGGTTAGGGCTTCAACATCTGAATTTGGAGAAGTAGTCACAACTTAACTACAACAGCCGGAAGCCATCAGAAGATTCTGAGAAGTCTGACATGATCCAACTTGCATTTTGAAAAGACTAATCTAGCTACTGCACTGAGAATGAGGACTACATTGGCCAAGACTAGAAGCACTGGGAGAAGCCAGGGGAGACCAGATAAGATGTAATTGCAGGGACCCAAGCAAGGGATGAAGGTGATTGAACCTGGTGGAAACAGGAGAGGTGGTGAGAAGTGTTGGCATTCTAGATATATTCTGAAGGTAGAAACCAATAGGACCTGCTAAAGTGTGAGAAAAAAATCAAAAGGAGTCAAGTCTGACTTTAGGACTTTGGGTGGTAACAAAGCCTGATGGGAATTGGATCCATACATAACAAGGGATCCACTGACTGCCTGTGTATGAATGAAATAGTTCCTTGCTAACTGCCTTCTGTGTGCTGGCACCCTGCTGGCATGATCACACATGTGAATCTTATCTAACTTCTGTTTTTTTTTTTTTTTTTCAAATACAATTTTTATTTTATATATATATATATTTTGTTGTTGTTGTTACAGATGTTTCTCCTTTTTCCCCCATTGACACCCTCCTCCAATTCTAACTTCTGTGTTAATAGTTAAGCTCAAGGCCTTGGTCACCCAGTGCCTCTTGTTGGGAGAGATGTCAACACCCACAGCTCCATCTGACCACCAACATTAGCCCCAACCAATTATTGGCCTCCTCTGGCTTTGCAATATAGTGAGGAACAATTTGTGGGTATTTTTTAAATTCTTTATCAAAGTTCTGCTGATAGTATTTATAACATTCCAGTAAGACTGTTCAAGGCAAGTTAGTCCCTGAAACATGCCATCTTCTAAAACCAATTCAAAGAAGACATGCTTGGTCAATGTAGCCAGCTTCCAAGTCCTGTCCAGAGACAGCATCTGGGGAGGTAAATGTAGCAGCCAGGCACAGGAGGGCATGCTGCTCCTGGCCTCAACCTTGGGAAGAGGCCCAAATAGACATGACCTCCAAATGGGAATGGGAAGAAGCTGCTCACCTGTCAACATTTAACCTGAGCCTTAGTCCTCAAACATGCCTTCTCAACTCTCTGAATTACATCCTTTTTGTGAATCCTATAATTTTCTTGCAAACATATAATGTGCTTTCTGTGTTAAGTTTTTGATTCTTGCCCTGGCCGGTTTGGCTCAATGGTTAGAGTGTCAGCCTGCGGTCCAGAGAGACCCGGGTTCGGTTCCCGCCAAGGGCACGTACCTCGGTTGCAGTTTGTCCCTGGCCCTGGTTCGTCGTGTGGGTGGCAGCCACTCAATGTGTCCCTTTCACGTCGATGTTTCTCTCTCTCTCTCTTCCTCTCCCTCCCTCCCACTCTGTCTGAACAAAAAATGGAAAAACGTCCTTGGGTGAGGATAAAAAAAAGTTTTTGATTCTTAAACATGAACTATAACTCAATTGTTATAACCCTGTTTTGGCAATTCTTGGGGGCGGGGGGCGTTGTTTTTGTATATACCAGGAGTCTTGAAAAATGGCAGTAGCTGGGTGCTCTCAACTCCTGAGAGACACAATTATCAAATCACTTTATCTGCAGTTCTCTATGGCACTTAACTCTTTTTCTTCTTCTAGTTTCAGTATTTATGTGCCTCTTTTTTCTTTCTTAAATAAAACGATCACATCTCATTCTATTTCTCTTGGTACAGAGCACTGTCGTTTGCATATATTAACCACTCATTGAATTCATTAAATGAGAAAATGTGAAGTGCTTTGATGTCAACAAAGTGTCAAAATTTGGTCAGTATAATCAGAGTAATCTGAGTAACAGGTTGAGAAGGACACAAAGTAAAGACGAGTCATTCTGGATTGACCTTACCTTTTACCTTTTAATGAGAGAAACACAATTATCTGACAAAATGACTATCTATGTAACCACACCATGACCATTCTAGAAGTTCTAAAGTTAATGCAAAGCTATGGAAGGTCTCACCCAGTTTGTTCAATGAGATTTACTAAGAGCAAAAAAAGACATAAACTCCAATCCATGGTCAGCTTTTTAAAGAGACCCAGGCCATCTAGTGGTTCCCCCAGAAAGCTTTCCTAAATTTAGAAAAAAACAAACCAAATTATCATTGTGGACAGTTGAATTGGGAACATATGGTTAATCTCAGTTAAGTTACATTTTAAATGGTTTTAAATCTTTTAGATTACACGTGGGCTTCATTGTATTATTAGTGTATGTTGTGCACTCATGTCCATTTTTTAACAAACAGAATATATATATATATGCCAGTGAAAGAAAAATTAAAGGTTGGTGGTCACCTCTAAGGTAGCCAAATTCTTGGAATGGTTTTCTCAAGAGAGTCCTCAGAGCTTCTCTGGAGACCCTGTCTGGGGGTGGGAGATGTGGGATCTAAACCAGACTGATTGTTATAAACCAAGATGGAACTGCTTTCACCAGGAGAAGTCCTCCCAACCCCATTCCCCACATTCAGAGTCAGCCACGGTGAGAGAGAGAGAGAGAGAGAGAGAGAGAAACATTGATGTAAGAGAGAAACATTGATTGGCTGCCTCCTGTACACCCTCTACTGGGTATCGAGCCCGAAACCCAGGGCATGTTCCCTGACTGGGAATCAAACTGGGACCTCTCAGTCCATGGGATGACACTCAATCCACTGAGCCACACCAGCCAGACTGTGGTTGTTTTGATCGTGGGGAACTGGAACTTCTGCAGAAGGTTTTGGTTGTCTCTCTTCACAGCAGTTGCCCGATGGTTTGTGTACATGTGTGAGTATATGTTGAGGCCAAGGGGGGAGGCCCTTGGATCATGTACCAAGGCCTACCCATTCTTGTCAGCATGCCAGAAGGTAGTTACTCTTATTCTAATCTTTCAACCTTCTTGGTGAACTTCCTTATAAATACTCTTGAAATTTGGGTACCTGATATTATACTAATGTTTCTATATTTGAAAACAAAAATTCATTATGATGAGAGTTAGCACAAGATATCAAAATAGTAACGCTTTGCTTATCCTGAATTAACTGGCAATTTCAGGATACCAGAACACTGACTTCTGATGCAAATTAGAAGAAAAGTAGTTGTGCTGACAATGTACATGTCACTAAAAAAAAAAAAAAAAAAAAGTGTGTGTTTAAGGTTATGCACCATCCTCACAGAAGAGCCCTTTGGATTTCACTCCAAGTCTCTTGGCCCTTATTTTAGGAATGGTTCAGTTAGACTAGTGACTAGTCAATTTCCCACTTTTTTACTACCCGCCATTTTATCACAATCTGTGTACCTATGATCCCTGGACCATTAAATATTCTCTATTTTCTAAAATATAATATTTTGAGAGCTGAAAGGGACCTCTGAGGTCATCCCAGGAATGTTACTTTTTACAGATGAGTGGTGGGGTCAGGGCACAGCTCCTGAGCTTGAAACTTCTCTTTGCTCTCTGGTTGCTTCTGAGCATGCCTTTCTTTTGCAGAGTGAAAATCCATTTAGGAAAACAAGAGGAGAGCCACACTTTACCTTATGTGAGTGAAAATAGAAAGAGGGCGGCAGAATTAACACTTACAGAGTACCTACTGTGTGCAGGCATGGGCCTTTTCCACGTACTTACTTCACTGAATCTTTGCAAAGATCCTATGAGGAGGTGCTGGAATTATTGCATATATTGTGTGGCTGCTAAGTGTCAGGACCAGGACTTGAACTTGGCTTACCCAGACCCTAGATAGGACATTTAATTACCTCTCTACAGCCTTATGTAAGGTGAGGAGCGTGTCCCAGGGTAACCAGATGATGACAGTCAGTCCAGGCAGGACACAGTTCATGTCCAGGTCCATGAAACCCTCTGTGGCACTTGGGACTCCACAAATACGGACGAGGGGCTATCAGGGCACCTGAGGGGCACAGGGGCAGGAGCACACTTGAGAAAGAGACGGGGACCAAGCCCTGAAGGATCTTGATACCTGCCTAGAAGTTTGGGACCAATCCTTCTGATGTCTGGGAGCCTCTATGGGTTTGACACAGGCATGGAACCAGATAAGATTTATATTTTAGAAAAACACCCTCTGGTGGGATAGAATTGGTGCTTTTTACTACCTTCTGCTTTTATCTATTGTTTTTTTCTCCCAACACCCTTCAAAGGATCATGCAATCCCTTAATGGGCAGAAAAAAATAAACAAAAATGTCATAGTCCTTCAGGTGGAGAGGATGATGAACTTAGGGGAGCCAGGCTGAAGCAGAGAGGCCGGCTGGGGAGGTATCTCCAGAGCCAGAGACAGATGGTGGTGTCCTCAGGCTATGTCAGGGGCAGGACTGTAAGAGGAGAGGATGAGGATGAGATACTTTTAGGAGATAACAATGGCAGGATCTGTGGCCTGCAGGGGTGTCCTGCACAACTCTAGAAGGTACAGTCATATCCGGGTCTATGACAGCTGAGCCCTGCCCAGATATATGACTTGGCATCTAGTGGGGGACAGAGGAGGAACTGACTAAAAATGTTTTTTTGGCCATTGTGCCAGGCATTTTCTCTTATGTTATCTTGTTTTATCCTCACAAAATCCCTTTGAGGAAGAGTTATCATCCTTATTTTTTTATGAGGAAACTGGGCACAGAGATGTTGAATACTTATGGTTGGTGGCAGAGTCAGGATTTAAAATCAGGCTTGTCTAACTCTAAACACTGAGTGATATCCACAATGTTCAGCTGCCTCCTGGCTTCTGGCCATGATGGAGAAGGTAGAGGAGGAACAAAGCTGGGGTATAGAGTATGGCATGGTGTCAGTGGTTAGATTTTGGAAATGTTGAGCTTGAAAGGCGTATAGGGACATCCAGGATCCAGCTGAGTCTTGTGGTTGAATCTCAGGAGAGAATCTGGAGATACAAGGGTAAGTGGTAACTGGGGGAGGGCACAGGAAGGACTCGGGCCCTGGACTTCATCTCATACCTCTGTTTTTATTTTTATTTATTTTTTTAATCCTCACCCAAGGATATTTTTACATTTATCTTTAGATAGAATGGGAGGGGAGGGGAGAGAGAAACATCGATGTGAAAGAGACACATTGGTTGCCTCCTGCATGACCCTGACCAGGGCTGGGGACCAACTGCCATGGAGGTATATGCCCTTGACCAGAATCAAACCCGTGACTCTTTGATCCGCAGGCCAACACTCTAACCACTGAGCAAGACTGGCCAGGGATAATGTCTCTGTTTTTATTTATTTATTTTAATTAATTTATTTCTATTACAGATGTTTCTCCTTTTCCCCCCACTGATTCCCCTCCCTCCCCACCCTGTTCCCAGCTTTGTTGTCCATGACCTTTTTTCATGCATACATGCATATAAGTTCTGTGGTTTATCTCTCCCCCACCACCCCCTGTTCTAGGGATTGTCAGTCTGTACCCCACTTCCATGTCTCTGGGACTACGCCATTCCTCAGACTGTTATGTTCATTATATTCCACAAATCATGTCTCTGTTTTTAGATGTAAGTAGGGCGCTCGTAGATTTGGAGGAATCTCAGCACTCTGCAATATTGTCTTACCTTCTACCCTGATGCCCAGGAAATGATCAGCATGTCACCTGGGTATCGCCTCTTTCGGAATAGGAAGCAGATTTCTGTCACCCTGGGAGATGAGATGTTTGATAGGAAAAAGCATTTGAAATCAGAGATCACGGACAAAATAAACATTTCCAGGTAATGTCTTTGGACCAATATCTAGCTCCTCAGACCTCTCCATGCCTAGCTGGGCCTGGCCTCAGGATAAGCTCCTAATATCCTCTCCCAGTCACAGGGTCCCTGCTATGGAGGTATTGCAAGTCACTTTCTGCCTCAGCCCTGTGCTGGCTCCTCCACTGCAATCCCATGCTAGACGGGATGAAGGTCAAATCAGGCTGCTGATGTGGGAAATGATCGGGTGTAGTGCAGTTTGTACTAAAGGAGAGCAATTTTTCCTGAAAGTAATGAATTGGTGAAATATTCATAAAATAGTCCAAATGTGTTGGTTGTGAACTAAAAGTAAAGTCAGAGTTTCTGGGAGGCCCAAGTATGCATTCCTTTTTCATTATGTCCAAAGGTAACACTCAGTTCATACCTCTGGGAGATGCAGTGTGGAAGATTCTGGCCTAACTCCTTCCTTGTTGAGAGCACTGTCATCCTCTCTGTCACTCAGGTCCCACCTACTCTATCCTCCAAATGCCATGTAAAGGCAGTCCCCACGTTCTTTCCATCCTACCTCCTAAATCTCTCATATCTTCTCCTTCCCCATCTGTTACCGCCTACCTGCACTATTGCAATGGCTCCCCAATGAGTGTCTCTTCCTTGGGCTTTAAATTGCTGTGAAAATTATTTTTTCAAGACAGAAGTCTAAAATCCCAACAGTAACAACAGAACACCCACACCACCTACCTATTTCTAAGTGTATAGAAAGGATACAACTAAATTGTTAGCAGTGGTTTCATTTAGGAAGGGATTCAGACTGGTGTTAAGGCTGAAGGACACATTGGCCCATTGTTGAGAGAGGCCATGTGTGGAGTCACCTTGATCTGACCTGGCCTGAAGAAACCAGACTCCAGTCTCTGTCTTCCCTCCAATGGGAACATCTATGCCCTGTTTTCTTTGTCCTGCTCATCCAAGGCCCTCTGCAGGAGGAGATAAGCCATGTACCTGCAGTCAAGCAGCACCCTCAACCACCTCTTGGCCTCAATAAGAAAGTTATCACCAGTTGTGGCATAATAAAATACAATAGCCCATACTTGTTTTATTCCCTGGTAAAGCTGTGAGTATTGTTTATATTGAAGGTCTTGTTAGGAGTTCCCTATTGTTCAACTTTCTCATACCTTTTCTTCTTTCTCATATCTTGATGCCCTCTCCTTCTACATTCTTTTGTTTTCTCAACCTCTTGAATTGAAGACCTCTTGTCTGCTGCACACAGCACTGCCACCCATATTGTCTACTCCAGGTCAACCAAACAGAGCTGAATAATTTTAGACATCATGGAGGCCCCAGACCCAGAAGCACAGGAAACCTTTATCAAGTCTGAAAGCCACTCTCTTAAATCCCTACCTCATCCAGTTTCTGGCTCATTCCTTGTCTATGATTCACTGTCAGGATCAATCTTATTCCTCACCTTCTCATTTCCTAGATTTCTGAACTACTCCCCACTCCATTTCAATTATCATTACCAAATCAAAACCCTAATAGATTTGGGCATATTCCTCTTTCCCTTCTATTCAATAGGCAACAAAACCACCCCACTCAGTTCTGGATGGCTTACCCAAAAGGGCCTTGTTTGAGGCTCAACCACCCCACTGCCACATTCCTTCTCCCCCTACTTCTCCCCCTCCTTCCCCACCCCAGTGATGGTGGAGCAGGTGCAGAACATGGCTAGGCTCTCACCAGGCTACCACCAGTCATGCTTAGGAAAAGGCCTGACTGGCATGAAATAGAAACTTTGTGGATGATTAAAGAATTACTTATCCTGTAGGACTGATATCATTTCTGGCCTAGAAGAGCAGATCTCAGAGCTGATGGTGATAATAGAGCAAATGAACAGAGACCACCAGTCTGCCGAAAAAGTGGTGAGTGATCCTTCAGTTAACCAACATCTCTGTGGGTACAGGAAAGACCAAGATTTTCAGATCACCTGCTATCTGCCAGGCATGATGCCAAGTACTTGCCTCATGGGAGCTATGTTGTCCAGTCAAGAGCTCTGAAGATAGGACAGTGGTCACCCCGTAGTATTTTTCTGTCTTCATCTTCCTCTATACTTTCAAGAACTCAAGTCCTTCCTCAAGCCTACCTCAGTTTCTGGGAGTTCTGGTGTCTCCAGTGTGTTCAATGGCACTATCCTCTTCACAGCAGGGGGCGCCAGCCATCTCCCACTGGGTGGTGAGTTAAGCTTCAGAGGTTGTGGAGGCTCTTGCTTAGAGCACCAGCCCAGTCAGTGCTTCCAGTGTTACCCAGAAGCTTTCAGTGCCCACTTCCTGTTGTTAGTGAAACTACAAAAGCCCAAACTGCTACTGATGTAAATTACACTCTTTATGTTTCCTGGAGATTTTGGTGACATCCTCTTTAGATTTTACCATCTATTTTATCATAGTCTTTTCTTCTTCCCCACTTTGAGCAGGTGTGCCTGGTGGCCTGCACTGGAGTGACAAACTAGGGCAATAATCAGAATCCCCCAGCCACGTTGCCTTGTTATTGAAATACACTTGTAAAAGTTGAATTCCCCACAGACCCACCCCTCACCCTCTCATAAACCCAAGGTGTTTCTGAGTCCTACAGGGACCCAGTTTATAACTCAGACTGAGCCTTTCCTTACTGAGTCATTACTATACTTATCTGAAAACCCTGCCAGGCTCATGGTTTCTTTCTACTAAAAGAGAATTGAGTCTGGAAGGGAGGGAGGGGGGTGGGGAGGAGAGTGTCAATGCGGGGAAAAGGAGAAACATCTGTAACAAAAATAAATTAATAAAAATAAATAAATAATAAAATCTAAAAAAGAAAAAGAAAATTGAGTCTTGGGAAGTTAAATAATTAGCATAAGAACATTTACTTTTATTTGGGCAAAATGGTCATTTTCATTCACTGAAGCATCAGTTCTACTGAAGACATATTTAGAAATTAATTCCATAGAGGGACCTCAGCTTGTGATCCTTAAAATTCTCCCACCTAAAAATAAAATAAAATTCTCCCACCTGCAAACACCCCAAATTGTGTGATCCTGTGTAAGGTAAGAGCACTGGTGCCACCATTTACTCAAAGAGGGACAAGGACTAGCCCTGTACTCTTGTCTCAGCTGGCTGTGGGCGCTAACTAGTTTGGAAGCGCCCATTCCTCCTGAGATAGTGGCCAAAGGACCTGGTGTGTGACAATGGAGGGTGCCCTGGAAGTGAGCAAATCCTGTCTGCTGCAACACAGTCATTCTGCCAGCGAGAATTTGACACTGGATTTGAAGTTCACTGAAGGCAGGGTCTGAGTCTCAGACCTCTTTGCTCTCCTAGGGAAAGCCTTTTGTTCAATTATTGAAGACATGTGCAATGTTCTAGATGTTAGCAAATACTAATTAAGGTAATTTACATGGTTTGGTTATTCAGCTTAAATTTGAATCATGGCTTATTTTACACATGCTGTTGATGTACCTTGTTTCTAATTGTTTTAAATGGTTTAAGAATTCTGCCTTTAAAATAAATTCATAAAGTTTACCTGATTCATATATCTTGACTTCCTATGAAATTTACATTTATATCAGTATTGAATTTTGGCCAGTGCTCCAATATAAGGAAGTTACTATTTTGAAATAAAGAAAACTTTTATTTTCTTTCCTTGCGCGCGCGCGCGCACACACACACACACACACACAATGAAATGATTGTTCAATTGAATTATGTATCTGAGGTACCAAAGGCCACTCTCTTACAAAGAGATTACAGTCCAGCAGAGACCAGACCTGCTCACAAAACCTGGTAGTGACAGAGATGGGTTCCATGCACCAACACTGCAAACTGATTACATACCAAACAACATATAGCAAGGCAAGAATTGTTCTGTGCCCTCTGTAATGATGGAGAGACATGGGGAGTGAGGTGTACCCCATAAATAAGAAGGCATCTCAAAAGTTGCAGACTGGAGTGGAAGTGGGGTTCTCAATCCTGTGTTACTAATGATGACCTCATTTTCAGCTCTCCAGTGAAATGGATCTCCGCTGTGCTGAGATGAAGCAGAACTTTGAAAACAAGAACAGGTACATTTTCTGGCACAAGCCCTTGTGTGCTGATAGCCCTAAGGCTCTTGCATCCTTGCAGGACTTCAGTTCACTGGAATTTCAGATGGTCCCAGAAAGTTTATTCCTGTTTTGTTTTGTTTTGTTTTTTTACTTTTTCATCAATTATTTCATTTCTACTATAATCTCCCTTTTTCATAATTGCTGAGAAGAGCCATTTTTTGTTCTATATGAGATTTCTGTGGTAGACAACTGTTCTCAGCCTAGCCTCCTCCTCCTTATCTTCCTCCTCTTCTCTTCTTACTGCTACTCTCCCTGGCAGCTAGGCCAGGGCCTAGGCAAATTGGGAAGAAGATATGGGAGGGACAGGAGCCAGAACCCGAAGGACAAAACAAGGGGAAGTAATGAGGTATTTTGTCTGTGTGTTGAGGAAACACACAAAACCCCTCCCCACTATCTGCTGGGCATCAGAGTAGCCCCAAAAGCCCTGGTGGAGAGAAGTCTTCCTAATTGAGTTATAGACTTGCCTTTAAAAAATATTAAATTAATTAATTAACTTATTTTATAATAGACTTTATTTTTTAGAGTAGTTTTAGGTTCATAGTCAAATAGAGTATTAAGTACAGATAATTCCCATATGCCCCTTACCTGACACTATACAACCTACACCATTACTGACATCCTGCACCACCATGGTGCATCTGTTACAATCCATGAACCCGCTGACACATCATTAGCACCCAAGTCCATAGCTTACATTAGGGTTCACTCTTGGTGTTGTCAAAACACATTCTGTGGGTTTTGACAAATGTATAATGACATGTATCCACCATTATAGTATCGTGCAGAATAGTTTCACTGCCCTAAAAATCCTCTGTGCTATGCCTATTCATCCCTGTCTACCTGCTAACCCCTGGTAACCACTGCACTGATCTATTGGCTGTCTCCATTGTTTTGCCTTTTCCAGAATGCTGAATGGTTAGAATCATACAGTTGCAGCCTTTTCAGATTGGCTTCATTCACTTACTAATATGCATTTAAGGTTCCTCCGTGTCCTTTCTTGGCTTGACAGTTCATATAGCCTTTCATTTTAACACTCATCTTGAACACTGGAATGGAGACTGGAGAGACATGGGACTCTAAAATGATCCTGGGAGCTAATGCAACCCATAGTTTTAAGACTGAGTTCTTAATGGGGCTCTATGGCACCCACCAGCTCTATTCAAAATAGTGATTGGTGAAAACAAGAGTCCTTTTCCCCTTCTATGGATGGATGCCAAGAGAATGCATTTAAAAAGTGAGGGTTCCCCAGCCTGCCCATTGGCTTTCTGTGTGAGGGAGGAGAGGTGGGGTGAGGTGAGTATAACAGTCTAATTCTGGACATCTTTTCACTGATTACTATGACCTTTCCCTGGCTCCCACAGGGAGCTCAAAGAGGCTCATGCAGCAGAGCTCAGGGAGTTGGAGAACAACTACAAAGCAGCCTTAAAGGCAGAGAAGTTGGCTGCCCAGGAAAAACTAGGTACATTCAGGACCTGGAAGAATGACCAGGGTGAAGGGCTGGGAGACTGACCATGTGGGTCTAGGCCTCATGGATGGGTTGTAACTAGACTTTTAAGATGTCCTCCTAAAGCTCAGGGAGAAGAAGTGATTGACAATGAAACTGAAAAGAGGGAAACCATGTCTACCACTCCTTCCTATATCCAGAAGATGGAAGGGCCTGTGATCAAGTTTTGGGATACAAGCAAGTCCCTTAATACTGAGTCTCAGTTTCCCCATCTGGGAATTGAGGACAATAATACTTGCCTTTATCAAAGTGATAAGGATGAGAAAGCACTTTTTAAAGTGTGTTTAAAGTTCTTGTTAGAACATTGTCCTGATATGCCAAGGTTGCAGGTTCCATCTCCAGTCAGGACACATAAAAGAAGCAATCAGTAAATGTATGAATAAGTGGAACAGCAAATCAAGGTTTCTCTCTTTTTCTTGCTCTCAAATCAATAAATTAAAAAAAATACTATTTTAATTCAGCAAGTTTCTTTACCTGTGAAATGATAGTGTTTCATTAAATTCTGACACACAATGATTTGTATGGCCTTACAGTCCATATGGATTGAATTGGCCATTTAGTCCATTGTTTATGCTGCCCTTGAGAAGAAGAAAGTGTGTCTTCTTCAGAATTCTGAGTTTGTAGACTGATCTCCACAGAAAGAAGGAGAAATTCTATAACCTTTCCCTTCCTGTTGCCTTTCATTTTTAAAAGATGGTATTTATACCTTGTTGATTTCCCAGTTGTTGTTTTTTTAAGAGAAAATGTATTGTTTTCAAAACCAATGTACACTAGGAAACATTATTTTAAAAAGAGAGAGGCAGGTGTGTTCTATAAATTTTGCTTCTCTTCTACCAAAGATTCAGGTTGACCTGGGGCTTATCTCTCAGACTTGGTATCCTTCAGAATTACCTGAAAAGCATATTATTGACAGATACTGGGCCTCTACTCTGAGAGCCTGATTCAGTAGGTTTAGGGGGGGTTCCAGGCATCTGAGTTTCTAATAAGCTTCCAGAGTGATTTCTGAGGCACGCTATGGCGCTATGGTTTTGTCCCCTAGGGGATAAGTGCTTTTTGTTTAAAAAAATTTTTTTTTCTTCATTGATTTTAGAGAAAGAGTAAGAGAGAGAGAGATAAAAACACCGATGTGAGAGAACATTGATTGGCTGCCTCCTGCATGCCATGCACTGGGGATTTGGCCCACAACTTGGGCATATGTCCTGACTGGGAATCGAACTGGTGACCTATTGGTGCATGGGTTGGTTCTCAACCACTGAGCCACACAGGCCAGGCTCTAGGGGATAAGTTTGATGTGGGGAAGGTATGCAGGAGAGCTCATATTTGAATTTGAAAGTGTGTATTTCAGAGCAATAATTGATGGTGCTGTTGCTTTCCTTTTGTCCAGAGGAGATGGGAAAGGAGTACAAGTATTTGAAGAATATGTTTCACATGTATCAGGTGAGATCAGAGCTCCTTGTTGGATTATGAGAATAAGAAAAGCAAGAGTCATTCTCTTACTTGTTGATAATGGGATGAATCTAGAGTTCTGGCCCAGAAATTAATTTCATTCTATTCCCAGCATCCTAGACCTAAGTGGCACACACTAACTGCACCTAGGGAGAAGAGTGAACCTTTGGACTATGATGGCTTCCATGCACGACAAGTCAGTCATCCAGACCCTAAAGAAGCCAATTGAAAAATATGTTTGTAATTACAAAAATAATACCTGCTCAGTGTTTTGTTTGTTTGTTTGTTTTTTAGGAAAAGGAAATACATAAACCAATAACAGCAACAACACAAATAAAAAACTATCACCACTCTAAGACAACAGCTGTTAATATTTGTACTTTGTGATATTGATTTTAGCAGGGTTCTGGGTCAAAAGGGATAATCATTGTAAAGGTCTTTGATACATTTGGCCAAACTGCCATCCAGAAAGACTGTATTACTCTGCCCTGCTCCCACTAGCAGAACATAGGAATGCTGTAGCCATCTGAGAACATAACCTATTCATTTAATCAGCTAATTTGATGGAGGCCCAGGGACAGAGTTAGGGCAGTATTTCTTCCTAGGGGGAATGAGAGAGTGGGAGATAGGGAACGGACAGGGAAGGGCTGGGGGAACCAAGCCCCCATCTTGTAGTGACCAACTAATCCCGGTTTGCCTGGGACTTTTGGGTTTTAGCATTGAAAGTCTGGAGTCCCAGGAAACAACTCTGTCCCAGGCAAACAAGGATAATTGATTACCCTATCACAAGAGGAAATCAAGTTAGGCACCAGCACCATATCTGAAATTTGATTTACCACTCACAGTTTAAGCTTGTATCCAAAACTCATTTTTCAAGATACACCTTGATACAGGTCAGGGAAAACCAGAGCCTAAGAGAAGAGTCAGGTTGATGAGCAGGAAAGCTGCCCCAGATTCCTATGTATACTTTGTGTTTGCTTCAGTCTGGGCCTCTCCAGAGAGTTTGACCTCTCTGGAAACTGAGCTGCCCACCAGTCTTGAAAATAATTAAAGAACCTCTATTTAAATGGCCACAAACAATTACAAGTGAGCTCTGATGCCAGGTCCAGTGTGAATTCTGCTGCTAACCTGGTAAGGAAGGGGGTCAGGATTCTGAGACCTATGAGCAGCATCTGGGTCCTAGGCCTTCCCCCTCCTGAGGTCCCACCATCATGAAATCTGAGTCAACCTGCAAGGGCTGACATCTGGTTAAGCACATTTAACTTCAACCACAAAGGAAGTTAGATTTGCTGAGGAAAATGGACATTCTCTGCATAGCATTCTAATTTTTTCTAAATATTCAAATTAATTACTAAGTATGTCCTTTGTTTCTTCATGTACTATTTATGAGTGACTCATGATTCAGAGGGAGTTGATATGTGAGTTTTCAACATGGGGAACCCTACCTGTCTTGAAATGAAGCCCAGTTCCAGTAGGCAAACACCATGCAAATTCTGACATTTAGGCTTCTGTAGCTCTCAGGGGGGCTGGGCTGAAATTTACTTTCACCAGTCACCCATATATGACCCCCCCAAGCAAGGGTTCCAGGTGAGGGAAGCTGCAAAGGGCCCAATGCAGTACCTTGGGCCAGTGTGCAACCTTTTTCAGGACCCTTTTCTTCATGCTGCCTTTGTGCCTCCACAGGACAGCATTTGTGATGAAGTGGAAGATAAGTGGTCAAAAAAGAAGGAAGAATGGGAGAAGGATGAGAAGATGGAGCGGGAAAAGATCCTGCTACAGCAAAGTGAGTACAGAAAGTTCTGATTTCCTTTTTCTTTTTTTTTTGGTTAATCCTCACCTGAGGATATTTTTCCATTGATTTTTAGATAGATTGGAAGGGAGAGAGAGAGAGAAATATTGATGTGAGAGAGACACATCAATTGGTTGCCTCCCGCACGACCCTGACCAGGGCTGGGGATCAAACCTGCAACCCAGGTACATGCCCTTACCAGGAATCGAACCTGTGACCCTTGTGTCAAAGGGCCAACCCTCTAACTGCTGAGTCAAAACCGGCCAGGGCATCTCTGACTTCTTAATGATAAGTGCACCAGAAAACTTCCATTAAACTCAGTCTCAACGCAGGGAAGGCAGCCTTGGATTCACTAAGGGTGATGAGCTGTATGACTAGACTCCTGAATGGAAGGTGCCTGGAGTTTTCAAGAAAGTGACAACAAGAATGGAATCTTTTATGAAGTTCAGCCACCTGAGATTCTAAACCTATACCTTCCAAGACTCACTGATTCCAAGTTTAGCCATCATAATCTAGAACAAGCTTTGGGACATCTATAAGAATGTGGACTTATTATCTACATGCAGGTGACTGCAAAGTTCCAGAAAAAGAGTTCTTGAATTAGGTTTCAAATATTCTTTTGTTGGGGAAAGGGCAACCCAATCCATCTTATTCAATTGTACTCTGTATTCCCACCCAACCCCCCAAGGAAGCCATGTTTGATACATATATACAGATATAGATTAAATTGAGGTATAATTATAATTGACATACAACATTGTATAAGTTTAAAGTATACAACATATTAATTTGATACATTTATATATTGCTATATATTTTTAATATTTCCAACACTTAGCACAGAGTTTGGATCATATTAAGTGCTCTGTAGGTGAGCCTCATAACCCCCTGAGCATCTTCATAAATGAAAGGAGAGAGGAATTTATGGAAACTCTGTTTCCTGGCCTAGAGGTAGGAGTGGGGCCTCTACAAACCTATTCCACATTCTACCCCAACCTAATTCATATCAAATTTAGTTGATTTAACAAATTACTCATTTAAATGCAGATACTCCTGGGAAAGTTAATTTTTAAGGCCATTCCTACCCTGGTGGGGACGCTGGACTGCTAGAAGGTAGTGTGTAGACCTTGGAGTTAAGACAGGAATGGAACATGGAGCTGCTCCTGTTTGAGGCTTTGCCTAGAATTTTGAGGGTAGCATAGCCCAGGTCACCTCCCACACTCCTAGCTACTCATATTATACTCATCCTACATTCATCCCATGTTGTCAAAGTCTAAATTAAGATGTTACAACCAGTTTTGGAAGACCAGGCTTTAAATGCTCAGAGTGTCGCTCAGTCCAGACTTATCCTGTGAGCCTAGGAGTTGCCTCCTATCCATCCCCAGCACTGTGATGCTGAAGAAGAAATTTGTGTTAGCCCCTCACCCCTCCTTCTTTCTGTTCAGTATTGATTGGGTCTCTGCTGGCAGATTCCCCTGTCCCCTCCAACTGTTAAAGCCTATCGCTACCCTATGGCTAAGTACAGAACAAATTTTATTGCTGGAAAAGTCACGTTAGCCAAGAGCTGCATTTTAAGATAAGGATGTTCAAGAAAACATAGTGGTTACTTCAGCAGAGAGAACAAACAAAATAATAAGCAACATATCTAAAATAAGCTACACAGCCCTGCCAGTATGGTTCAGTGGTTGAGCATCAATTCATGCACCAAGAGGTCATCGGTTCAGTTCCCGGTCGGGGCACATGCCCAGGTTGTGGGCCTGATCCCCAGTGGGGGGCATGCAGGAGGCAACTAATCGATATTCTCTCTCATCAGTGTTTCTATCTCTCTCTCCCTTCCTCTCTCTCTAAAAATCAATAAAGAAAAATAAATAAATAAATAAATAAAATAAACTACACAAAAAGAACAAGAGATATTAGAGGTAAATCCCATAAGGCTGATGTGGTTGAGAATCACCATTGTGTTGACCTCACTCTCAATCATCTCCAGGTGTGTGTCAGAAGCCCAACACCAGGCTGAAAGCACTAGGGTTTGACCTAGTCTGGATTTTCTATTATCTACAGATACTCTGATTTTTCTCTCTGCATCTGTTTTTCCCACATTTACACCTATAAGTGATTTCCTCTCACCTCCACAGAAAATATGATGACAAAAAAGTTTGAGTTAGAGTCAGAAGAAGAAAAGAAGAAAATAAAGGACTCTTACAGTACAGTCTTTGAGAACTTCAATCGAGAGAAGGAGGTAACTCAACCCAAAGCACATCAGTGGTGTAACGTGCGGCCTTGATGGGGCATTTGGTTCCCAGGTGTGCCCCTGTTATTAGGTCAGCTTTTGTCTTTCTGGAAATATTTCTCCTTTTCCAGCTTCCCTGGAAAATATGCAAGTAGACTGACAGTCTTGCTGTCTTTTATCTAGATAGTCATACCACAGGGTTATTGGAATGAAAATTATATTAACAAGAAATAATAGAATGTGAAACATATGCAGAAGCTGAAATTCCCTATTTTGCCAAAACCCAGTTTCTGAATGTCTTTCTCCTTGACGATGGCGGAAGAGAAAGAATATTGTTGCAAACTAAACTAAGCAAATTTGGTCATGTACAACTCTTAGTAGATAAGGGTAGCTAAATAAAATAGAGCAGTGATTCTCAACCTTCCTAATGCTGTGACCCTTTAATACAGTTCCTCATGTTGTGGTGACCCCCAACCATAAAATTATTTTCATTGCTACTTCATAACTAATTTTGCTACTGTTATGTCTTAGGCGACCCCTGTGAAAGGGTCATTTGACCTCCAAAGGGGTTGCAACCCACAGGTTGAGAACCACTGAAATAGAGGTTGTGAGGGTTAGCTGCTCCTGTGTTAATCCCTTACAACCTTGACTCATACCAGGTTATAATGAAAGCAGGTCTCAGACCAAATTCTACCAAACATGTGGACATTTACTAAACAAACATGCATTAGTCAGGAGGTCCAAGCAGTTATACCACCAGTTCTCTGGGTTTTGGGGTGCATGAAAGATTCATCTTAGGTATCTTAGGTATTACAGAAGTAGTCTTTTGTAAGCATTCTGTAATTGTATAGTCAGCATCAGGCAACCAGAGCTTCTCCTAAACAGGTCACAGGACTATTTTGGGGTCAAGTCTTAGACCCCAACCCTAAGTATGTGCAAGCTATAGACTTTGTTAAATTCTTGTACCCATTTCATGCAAAGTGGAAAATATGTCTAATATTCCATGTTTAACTGTCATGCTAATTGAAAAGTCACACATTTCATCAATAAAAGCCCATTTATAGCATTCACTTTATTACTGAGCAAAACAATAATGAGGAGATGGGATATGCTCTGTGATAGTGCTTCTGGGATCTAGAGAACTCAGATGGCTGAGTAAGGAGTAGTGGGCAGTTCCTCTTAATGGGAGAGATTTGATCATCTGCATGCATCCCTTCTTCCTCTAGTGACAATGACTATAAACCTGTAAATGGGTGGTCTCTTTCTCTTACATATAATTTGCACTTGCAGATTAGTGACATGCGCAGATATTAAACATACAGTTTGATGAGTTTTGACAAATGTATATATGCATTGTAACCAATACCCAAATCAAGATTTAGAACATTTCATCAACCCAGAAAGCACTCCTTTCTAGTTAATCCCTATCTCCCTTAAGACTTCCCCCAAGACAACTACTCTCTTGATTCCTGCCACCATAGGTTATTTTTTCTTATTTTAAAACTTCATATAAATGGAACCATATAGTATATGCTCTGGTGTATAGCTTCTTTTCCCTCAATATAATGTCTGTGAAATTTATTCATTTGGTGTTTATATCAGTGATTTCTTTTTTTAAAATTGCTCAGGAGTATTCCTTTATAGGAATATTAGATAATGCATTTACCATTTTTCTGTTTGGAGAAATTTGGGTTGCTTTCACTTTTTAACTTTTACAAATAAAGCTTCTATAAACATCCTGTATAAGTACTTTTGTGGATGTATACTTTCACTTCTCCTTGGTATACCTAGTAGTGCTATTGCCGAGATCTAGGGCGGGTATAAGTTTATCTTGATAAGAAATTACTAAGCTATTTTCCACAGTGGTTGTACCATGCATCTTAAATATATGAGAATTCCAGTTGCTACATATCAATGACAACGGTTAGTATTGCTAATCTTTTAATTTTGACCATTCCAATGGTTATGAAGTAGTACTTCATTATAGTTTTAGTTTCCCTAATGACTAAATATGTTGGGCAATTATTTATATGCTTATTGGACCATATATATATGTCTTAATATGTCTTCTTTTATGAAGTGTCGGTTCAAGTCTTTTACCATTTAAAAAAATGTGGATTGTTTATTTTATTTATTTATTTTTTATCCCCACTCGAGGACATTTTTCCATCTTTTGTTCAGATAGAGTGGGAGGGAGAGAGAGAGAGAGAGAGAGAGAGAGAGACACATTGTTGTGAAAGAGACACATCGAGTGGTTGCCACTCGCACGACCCCACCAGGACCGGGGACAAATCGCAACTGAGGTACGAGCCCTTAGCGGGAACCAAACCTGGGTCTCTTTGGACCACAGGCCGATGCTCTAACCGCTGAGCCAAACTGACCAGGGCTGTTTATTTATTTTTTATTGATATGTAAGAGTCCTTTTTATATTACGGGTACAAATTCTTTGTCAGATATATGTATTCCAAATTCTGTCTCCCTGCCTGTGATTATAAATATCGTGTTCATTTTGCTTATGTTGTCTTTCGATGGGAAGAAGTTCCTTTTTTTTGGTCCTCACCCAAGGATATTTTTTCATTTATCTTCAGATAGAGTGGGAGGTGCCCTGGCCTATTTGGCTCAGTGGTTACAGCGTCAGCCCGCGGACCAGACAGAGTGTGAGGGAAGGAGAGAGGGAGAGAGAGAGAAAAACATCAATATGAGAGAAACACATCAACTGGCTGCCTCCCACATGACCCAACCAGAGCTGGGGACAAACCGCAACTGAGGAATATGCCCTTGGCTGGAATCAAACCCATGACTCATTGGTCCGCAGGCCAATGCCCTACCACTGAGCCAAACCAGCCAGGGCAGAAGTTTTTTGTGCTTTGTTTTGTTTTTTAATTGATTTTTTAAAGAGAGGAAGAGGGAGGGTGAGAGAGAGAGAGAGAAACCTCATCAATCAGCTGTCTCCTACATGATGCCCACCAGGATCGACCCTACAACCTAAGCATATGTCCTGACCAGGAATCAAATCAGTGACTTCTTGGTGCATAGGTCCCCACTCAACCACTGGACCACACCAGCTGGGTGGGCAGAAGTTTTTGATTTTAATAAAAGTCAAATTATCAATATTTTTCTTTTATGCTTACAGTTTTTTGTGTCTTCTTTATAAAACAGTTGACTATTCCAAGGACATGAAGATATCCTTTTTTTAAAAAAACTTATAATTTCAGCTTTCATGATTATGTGATCCATTTTGAATAATTTGTGTGTGTGAGGTAGAAGTCATAGGTCATTTTTACCCCAGATGGATATCCAGTTGTTCCAGGATGATTTGTTAAACAAAACAAAATACAACTTTTCTTTCTCCATTGAGTTGCCTTGGTGTCTTTGTTATATTTGGGAAGGGGGGGGGGTAGATTCTGCTCTATTCTATTCAACTAGTTGCATTTACATAGACCAACAACGCCTTGTCGTCATTACTATAGCTTGAAATCAGGAAGTAAAAATGTTCTAACTTTGATCTTGTTTTTCAAGATTATTTTGGCTATCTTTATCCACTGTATTTCTATATAAATTTTAGAATTATCTTGTTAAGAAAGCCTGCTGGTATTTTGACTGAAATTGCATTGAATATAAAGTTCAACTTATGAAGAACTGTGTATTTAACAGTATTAAATCTGTATATTAGTCAGTGCACTATGGTTGAACATGAGTGAGATTTTCATTATTTAACTTCAACATGTGATGTCATTAATTTACAATGTGTGCTTCATGAAACCAATATCTAAACTTTGGTAAATATTATGTTTGTGAATCCTATTCTGGTTTCCTTAGTTTTTGAAAGAAGTGCCAGTACCCCATTGCTGACCTTTTCCAAATAAAATTAATTTTAGGAACTGTTGAAACAACATGAAAAGGACACCTTGCAATTAGAGGAGCTAAAAAAGACCAAAGAGGTAAGCTTTCTCATTTTTTCCTGTGAATTTAGCATCTTATAAATATGTGAGTAAAATTATATACTCTAAATAAAATGGAATCAATGATAATTTTCCCAAAACTGGGGAAAAAAAAATGGAAGACCTAAAGCTGAGTTTGCTGGAATCAATAAGTTGAAAAGGATTTTAGAATTATCTGTAAAACAAAGCTATTAGTGTCTTTTTAGAGCCCGATCTGAACAAATATATGAGCAATATATACTGTGTGATCTTCAGTGGCAAATGCATTCCATTTCTAGTAAGGCTTAAACCACAAAAGGGTCAAACAACAAAATACATGTTCTTTCCTTTAACCTCTGGAAAGCACAATATTGCCCCTTAGAACTCTAACTCCAAGCCTCTCCTTAAAACATTGAGTGAAATAAACTAATCATAGAAAGACAAATATCATATGATCTCACTTATCTGTGGAATATAATGAACAAAATAGACCCAGAGACATAGAAAGGAGTACAATTCAGAATAACAAACCTCAGAGGAGGGGGTGGGGAAGATGGATGAGATAATCCGCAGAATTTATATGCATGTATGCATAACCAGTGGGCATAGACAACAATGCTGGGAGAGGGGGAGAGCAGGATCAGGAGGTGGGTGTCTAGGAGGGAAAAAGGAGAAATATTTATAACAAAAATAAATTAATAAAAATTGCAAAAATAAAAAGCAAAAACCAAAATTATGAGTGTACCTTACCCCCCACAGCCTCCTCAGGAACACTGTCCTTCTGAGACTTCCATGTGGGAGATATCTGAAGGGAAAATGTTCAGACCCACAAATTGACTTGTGGTTCTTCTTTCACTAAGAATTTAATTTGGATCCAGAATGGACATGTTTGAAAAATGATTAGCCATTATAAAAGCATAGAATGGACCTTAGAGTTCAGGCAGGGCTTCAGTACTGTTGAGCAAACAGATTGCAATGTCCTGCAAAGTAAAGGAATGGGCTTTGGGGCAAGGTGGATCCAGTGTATCATTTTTTCCTCTTTTTAGTATTTAATTTACTAGGGTGGCATTGGTTAATAAAATTATACAGGTTTCAGGTGCACAATTCTACAACACATCATCTGTACACTGTATTGTGTGTTCACCACCCCAAGTCAAGTCTCCATCCATCACCATTTATTGGTCCTCCATACCCTCCTCCCCTTCGTCTCATTCCCCCTCCTCTGGCGATCATCACACTGTATTCTTGTAACTGCTTTACTGACCTTGTCTACTGATTCTACCATTTGTGTCATTTCTGGGTCTATTTCTGTTCAATGATTTTGCTCCTTGTTTATGGTCATAATTTTTTGCTTGTTTGCATGCCTGGTAATTATTTATTTATTAAATTTTTTTTTCTTTATTGATTTTAGAGAGAGGTAAAGGGAGAGGGAGAGAGAGAGAGACACATCGATGAGAGAGAACATCAATTGCTGCCTCCTGCATGCCCCCAACTGGGAATTGTGCCCACAACCTGGGCATGTGCTGAGAATCGAGCTGGCGACCTCTTGGTGCATGGGTCGATGCTCAGCCACTGAGCCACACGGGCTGGGCCATACCTGGTAATTTTTTTTTTTTTTTTTTTTATCATCACCCAAGGACATTTTTGCACTTATCTTCAGATAGAACAGGAGGGAGAGAGAGAAGGAGAGAGAAACAGTGATGTGAGAGAGACACATCGAGTGGTTACCACCCACATGACCCGGGTTCCGAGCCGGAGCCAGGGACAAACTGCAACCAAGGCATGTGCCCTTAGCGGAAACCGAACCCGGGACTCTCTGGTCCGCGGGCCAATTCTCTAACCGCTGCACCAAACAGGCCAGGGCAATGCCTGGTAATTTTTTAATTGGAATGCCAGCTATTGTGAATTTTACCCTTTCAGGTGCTGAATATTTTTGTATTACTTTAAATATCATTGATATTTGTCCTGGGATTCAGTTAAGTTACTTGGAAATAGTTTGAGCTTTTCAAGTTTTTCTTTTAAGCTGTGTTAGGGCTAATTTTTCCCCACTACTGAGATGATACCCTTCTTTTTTTTTTTTTTTTTTTTAATTTTTTTTTTTTATCCTCACTCAAGGACATTTTTCCATTTTTTATTCAGATAGAGCGGGAGGGAGAGAGAGGAAAAGAGAGAGAGAGAAACATCGACGTGAAAGGGACACATCGAGTGGTTGCCACCCACACGACCCAACCAGGGCCTGAACAAACTGCAACCGAGGCACATGTCCTTAGCGGGAACTGAACCTGGGCCTCTCTGGACCACAGGCTGATGCTCTAACCACTGAGCAAAACCATTAGGGCGATGATACCCTTCTGAGTAGTCTACCCAATACTGTGTGTATTCAAAAGGGTTTTTCTTTCCTGGCTGATGGGAATATGAACTATTCCCAGTCCCGTGTTGGTTCTGGGGATTGTTCCACCTACTCCATGCTGCTGGTTCTTTCCCCCAAACTCAACTCCTTTGATCTCTTCCCCTCCTCATACCACTCCAATGGTGCTGGACATCTTGCTGTTTCTTTAACAGGCCATGACACTCCCACTTTGGAGTCTTTGTACTTGATTTGCTCTCTTCCTGGAAAGTTCTTTACCAGATATCCACATGGCTAACTTCCTTACCTCCTTCCAGTCTTCACTCAAATGCCACCTTCTCAGGGGCCACTCAGTAACCTGCCTGACACTGTCTCTTCCCTATTTTTTTTTTCTTTTTTTATCCTCACCTGAGGACATTTTTGAATTTTTTGTTCAGATAGAGCAGGAGGGAGAGACAGGAACAGAAAGAGAGAGAGAAACATCGATGTGAAAGGGACACATCAAGTGGCTGCCACCCGCACGACCCAACCAGGGCTGGGGACAAACTGCAACCGACGTACTTGCCCTTAGCGGGAACCGAACCTGGGTTTCTCTGGACCGCAGACTGACGCTCTAACCGCTGAGCCGAACCGGCCAGGGCCCTGTTTTATTTTTCTACGCAGACTTATAACCATCTAACCTGATAAACTCAATGAAAGCGAAGATTTTTGTCTGTTTTCTTTACTACTAATCTTCAGTTTCTGAAATAGTGACTGGCAGATAACAGACATTCAGTAAATAGTAACTAATTTTTTGAATGAATAAATAAATGAAAAAAATACAAAATGACCTGCTTTTTACAATGCAGTTGCAGTAAATTATGGTACCTTTCAAGTTTATGCAGAGTGGGAGGTTGCTTATTACACGGGAAGAGCTATGAGGATGGGAAGAGTTAAGTGAGGCTGACACCTGAAAGCAGATTCCCTTCTGGTTCATTTTTGTAGTCTCTTCATCATCTCTCTAAAATAGATCCCACACTTATCCTTCCCATCACATATGCTGAGTCCTCCACCTGCATCCTTGTTTTGTTTTGTTTTTAAATCCTCACCCAAATATTTTTCCATTGATTTTCAGATGGAGTGGAAGGGAGGGAGGGAAAGAGAGAGAGAAGCATTGATGTGAGAGAGACATATCAATTGGTAGTCTTCCACATGACCCTGACCAGGGCAGGGGATTGAACCACAACCTAGATATGTGCCCTTGACCAGAATCAAACTGGATACTCTTTGGTCCATGGGCCAATGCTGTAACTGCTGAGCCACACTGACCAGGGCTGTCTTTGGTTTGTTTTAATTTACTATTGTAATTATTTTGTTTATTTTTATTTATTTATATTTTTCTCACTAGAAAGTGTCCTTATAAGAGTAGTAGGAGCCCTGGCCAGTTTGGTTCAGCGGTTAGAGCGTTGGCCCGCAGACCGGAGAGTTCTGGGTTTGGTTCCCGCTAAGGGCACGTACCTTGGTTGCAGTTTGTCCCCGGCCCTGGTTGAGGTCGTGTGGGTGGCGGCCACTTGATGTGTCTCTCTCACATCGATGTTTCTCTCTCTCTTCCTCCCTCTCTCTCTCCTGCTCTATCTGAAGATAAATGCAAAACTGTCCTTGGGTGAGGATAAAATAAATTTAAAAAATAAATAAATAAAATGTTTTAAAAAAAGAAAGAGTAGTAGGAATTATATTTGTCTTGTTCATCATAATATTCCTAGTGCCTAGTACAGAAGTAGGTTTTTTTTCTAATTAAGAGACAATTTTTTTAGAGCAGGATTAAATTTACAAAAAAATTAAGTAGAAAGTAGAGATTTCCCATACACTCGCCACCCCTACACAACTTCTATTATTAATATATTGCATTGGTGTAGTATGTTTGTTACAGCTGATAAACTAATATTAGTACATAATTTTTAACTAAGGTTTGTAGTTTACATTAGGGTTCATTCTCTATTTTGTACATTCTGTAGGTTTTGTCAAATGCATCATGCCATATACTCACCACTGCAGTATCATACAGAATAATTTCTCTAACCTAAAAATCTTCTGTTCTCCACTTATATATCTCTGGCTTCCCCTCCCAACCCATAGTAACCACTGATATTTTTACTATCTCTAAATTTGCCTTTTCCAGAATGTCGTAAAGTTGGGATCCATAGTAGATATTAAATAAATACTTGCTTAATGAATGAAGGATTGGTAGCTGTTGTGACAGCCCATGTGAGCTCTGGTGAGAGCTGGCTCTGGGGCAGAGACAGATTGCAGAGGAGAGGGTACAGATGGGTGAGACACAGAGGATGTAGAATTAACAGGGCATAGTGACTGACTGGTGTAGGAGAAGGAGTAAAGTTGATACTTCACATTCTAGTCCAGGTACCTGGAGAAGAGAAAAAATGGGGGGATACCATCATGATATCCCGAAACAATTTCTTCTTACACAGATCATGGAGGAAGAGTTGTATGCACAAGCTACTATACTAGAATCACTCAACACAACCCTCTACCAAACCCAGATGGAACTCCAGAGAGAGGTGAGTCCTGACTGGAGTGGGCATGGGAGTTGGGGGAGGGTCCCAGGTCTCTGTGCAGCTCTGCCATATAGCTCTGGTTTGGGAAAGATAGCTATGAAAATGTATATGTCTTTCAGAAAGCAGTGGTGGGAAATCTGGAGAAAACACTCCACACCAAACTTGCCGAATGTGAAGAGAAGTTTAAATACACCATACTGCTCCTGACAGAAGAAAACATTCATCTGAGGTGTGAATGAGGCACAAAAACATGGCTGACGTATCATTAGGAAGTGGGAGGAAGTTTGGGTGAGGGATAGGTGAAGAACCCAAGCATTCCCTAATGAAGTCAAGGCACAGGCAGTTTCAGAAGGAGGATATTCGCTGTGAGCCTGTCCACGGAATTTACCTGCTGTAGTCAAACAGTTCATTTGAAATGGTGCTAGAAATATGTCTAGACTCCTCTCCCTTACGTATGTCTTAGTTTTTATGCAAAGTGACACATGAGATTTATCTGAGAATATCTAAATGTATTCAGTTTTGTGAGTGAAGATTATTTTTAAATCCATCTCCCTCGAGAGTTTAGGTGTTAATGGTTTACTGTTAGATGCAGCTGCATTGTGTTCCTGTGGAAATCAACTTCAGGCCAGAAGTTATACTGCTACCTAAAGATGCATCTTAAATCGCTAAAATAAACTTTGGTGAATACTTTAACAAAGGGAAGTTATTCATTGTGTTGATTTAGTGGGAAATTCCTCATCTGGGCATTTGGTCACCCAAATATCATATCTCGCTAAATTCAAAACCACTGCAGGTAATGAGTGGGACTCCCCCCAGTGAGAGAAAGAAACCACGTTCCTATCTCCCTGGATAGCCTAAACTACTTTCTACTCCTTGAGTCTATAGCAATACATTTTCTCTTTCTTTATAGACAAAAAATAAATGCCAAGAATGAAGGAATTTATGAAGAACAATCTGGAAGATCAACCTGTGTTACTATTTATGAGGACGATTCTGAGACTTTAGAAGACGGTAACAACAAAAAACAAGAATTATGAGCAGAAAAGTTGTTCTCCATAATTGGAGATGGTAGGAACACTATCTCTGTAAGCCTAGAGATCTCCTGTAAGGTTTTCTTAAGAAATGCATATGATGAATTTGGGTTGCCTTGATTCTACTTTTTTCTTTTCACAATTTGCTTTCTTCTGAGTGGTTGGGGATGTTTGAATTCTGATCTCAATTACATAGATATTTCATGACTCTTCATTAAAAAGTGATGTTCTGTATGCCTAGAGTAGAGCTTTCTCTGGGTGTACTATTTTCTCTCCTACCTTTACACATTTCATTATGAAGACACTGATCTGAAAATTTTCTTCCTATTAAATGCTGATTATATTTTGGACTGTACCTTTGGTCCCCCTGGGGCATTTAGCTAGCAACAAAGAATTTATTGGTTTGATTTAAAAAACGTTTCTTTTTTTTACGTGTCCCCACTCTCCCTCCTCTCAATCATGTTCCCTAACCTATGATTTAGGAAGAGTTTCTGATGATTTTTGCCACCTTCTCTAAACCATTGCTAGAATTCAAATGCCTACAAGGGCTGGACATGAGGAAAACAATCCCACAAACACAATGATAATTGGTAATTGGCAGCAAGGGCAACAGAAGGGATTAGGGGCAGCGAGAGAACCCATTCCATTGCTGCCATGTAGAACTTGGCGTGGGGTCAATGTGATCGAATATTCTGTTTTTTCAAAAAAAAAAAAGGTTTCTGGTTTTTATATGACATCTCCAAATTTTTTAATATGAACAACAAATTTTAAAAATATAGCTGTGTGAGCCAACATCGGGAGGCTCAAGTAAAACATATCTGTGATCCAAACATTTTCCACCTGTGAGATGCCATTGGCAAAAAACAAAACAAGTAAAACACCTCCAAAAAACAGTAAGATTAAATTTTATTTTATTAAAAAATATTTTTTGCCCTGGCCAGTTGAGCTCAGCGGTTGAGCATCGGCCTGCAGACCAGAGAGTCCTGGGTTTGTTTTACACTAGGGCATGTATCACAAAAAATATAAAAATTTTTTTTTCTTTATTTTTTTTACTTATTTATTTTTGTTACAGATGTTTCATTTTTGTCCCCATTAACACCCTCCTCCCCCTCCCTCCCCTCTCTGTTCCCAGCTTTGTTGTCCATGTCCATTAGTTATGTGTACATGCATATAAGTTCCATGGTTTATCTCTCCCTTCCCCACCCCCATCTGGGGATTGTCAGTCTGTACCCTACTTCCATGTTTCTGGGACTACCCCATTCCTCAGACTGTTATGTTCATTATATTCCAGAAACAAGTGAGATCATGTGATATTTGCCTTTGTCTGCTTGGCTTGTTTCACTTAGGATAACACTTTCCAGGTCCCGCCATGTCGTCTTGAAGGATAAGAGATCTTTCTTTCTTACAGCTGCATAGTACTCCATTGTGTATATGTACCACAGCTTTTTTTTTTTTTTAATGAAAATATAATTATTTATTTTTTTTCTTATTCTTTTTTTATTAATTAATTAATTTATTTTTCTTACAGATGTTTCTCCTTTCCCCCCCACTGATTTCCCCCTCTTTCTCCCTTCCCGCCCTGTCCCCAGTTTTGTTGTCCATATCCATTGTTCATGCATATATGCATGTAAGTTCTGTGGTTTATCTCTGCCCCACCACCTCCTCTTCTGGGGATTGTCAATCTGTACCCCACTTCCATGTCTCTGGGACTACCCCATTTCTCAGACTGTTATGTTCATTATATTCCACAAATAAGTGAGATCATATGATACTTGTCTTTCTCTGCTTGGCTTGTTTTGCTTAGGATAATACTTTCCAGGTCCCTCCATGATGTCTCAAAGGATAAGAGATCTTTCTTACAGCTACATAGTACTTCATTGTGTATATGTACCATGGCTTTTTTATTCATTCATCTACTGATGGACATTTGGGCTGTTTCCAGATCTTAGCTATTGTAAACAGTGCTGCTATGAACATGGGGGTGCATATGTTCTTTCTGATTGGTGTTTCAGGCTTCTGAGGGTATATTCCTAGAAGTGGAATCATTGGGTCAAATGAAAATTCAATTTTTAATTTTTTGAGGTAACTCCATAGTGTTTTCCATAGAGGCTGCACCAGTCTGCATTCCCACCAGCAGTGTACTAGGGTCCACTTTTCTCCACATGCTCGTCAACACTTGTTTGATGATTTGTGGATGGCGGTCATTCTGACAGGTGTGAGGTGATACCTCATTGTTGTTTTAATTTGCATCTCTGATGATTAGTGATGTTGAGCATTTCTTCACATATCTCTTAGCTATTTGTATGTCCTGTTTGGAGAGGTATCTATTTAGTTCCTCTGCCCATTTTTTAATTGGGTTCTTTGTCTTCCTTTTGTTGAGTTATATGAGCACTCTATATATATTGGAAATTAACCCCTTATCTGATATATCATTGGCAATTATGCTCTCCCATAGAGTGGGTTGCCTTTCCATTTTGATGATTGTATCTTTTGCTGTGCAGAAGCTTTTGAGTTTGATGTAGTCCCATGTGTTCATTTTCTCCTCGTTTCTGTTGCCTTAGGTGATGTATCAGTGAAAATTCTGCTGCGTATGATTTCTGAAATTTGTTGCCTACAGTTTCTTCTAGAATTTTTATGGATTCACGAGTCACATTTAAGTCTTTTATCCATTTTGAGTTTATTCTTGTGTATGGTATAATTTGATGGTCTAGTTTCATTTTTTTGCATGTAGCTGTCCAATTTTCCCAACACCATTTATTAAAGAGGCTGTCTTTACTCCACTGTATGCTCTTGCCACCTTTGTCAAATATCTATTGAGCATATTGCCTTGGGTCCATTTCTGGGTTCTCTGTTCTGTTCCACTGATCTATATGCCTGTTCTTGTGCCAGTACCAGGCTGTTTTGATTACAGTGGCTTTGTAGTATAACCTGAAATTTGGTAATGTGATCCCTCCTACTTTGTTCTTCCTTTTCAAGATTGCTATGGCTATTTGAAGTCTTTTTTGGTTCTATATGAACTTTTAAAGCATTTGTTCTAGTTCTGTGATGTATGTCATTGGTATTTTGATGGGGATTGCATTGAATCTATAGATTGCTTTGGGTAATATGGCCATTTTAATGATGCTAATTCTTCCAATCCATGAACTAGGTATGGGCTTCCACTTTTTTTATATCTTTCTCAATTTCTTTTTTCAATGACCTGTAATTTTCTGCAAATAGGTCCTTTATATCTTTGGTTAAGTTTATTCCTAGGTATCTTTTTTTTTTTTTTTTTTTTTTTTGCTGTGATGGTAAATGAGATTGTTTTTTTATTTTCTCTTTCTGTGAGTTCATCATTGGTGTATAAGAGTGCCATTGATTTCTTGACGTTAATTTTGTATCCTGCTACTTTGCCAAATTCATTTATTAAGTCTAGTAAATTTTTGATGGAGTCTTTGGGGTTTTCTATGTATAGTATCATGTCATCTGCAAATAATGACAGTTTCACTTCCTCCTTTCCAATTTGGATTCCTTTTATTTTTTCTTCCTGTCTGATTGCTGTGGCTAAGACTTCCAGTACTATGTTAAATAAGAGTGGCAAAAGTGGGCATCCTTGTCTTGTTCCTGTTCTTAAGGGAAATGCTTTTAATTTTTGCCCATTGAGTATGATGTTGGCTGTAGGTCTTTCATATATGGCCTTTATTATGTTGAGATATGATCCCTCTATTCCCAGATTGCTGAGCGTTTTTTATCAGAAATGGGTTCTGGATATTGTTGAATGCTTTTTCAGCATCTATTGATATGATCATATGGTTTTTATATTTCATTTTGTTTATGTGGTGTATCACATTTATTGATTTGTGAATATTGTACCAGCCTTGCATCCCTGGGATGAATCCCATTTGGTCATGGCGAATAATTTTTTTGATGTACTGCTGGATTCGATTTGCTAGTTTTTTGTTCAGATTTTGGCATCTATGTTCATCAGGAATATTGGTCTGTAGTTTTCTTTCTTTGTAGTGTCTTTTTCTGGTTTTAGAATTAGAATTATGCTGGCCTCATAGAATGTGTTTGGAAGTCGTCCTTCTTCTTGAATTTTTTGAAATAGTTTGAGGAGAATGGGTATTAGTTCTTCTTTGAATGTTCAGTAAAATTCCCCCGTGAAGCTGTCCGGGCCTGGGTTTTTGTTTGCTGGGAGAGTCTTGATACATCTTCAGTTTCTTTTGTTGTTATTGGTCTGTTCAAGTTTTCTATCTCTTCCTGATCCAGTTTTGGGAGACTATGTGTTTCTAGAAATTTGTCCTTTTTGGTTAGATTGTCGAATTTATTCGTATAATTCTTCATAATATCTGTTAACAATCCTTTGTATTTCTGTGGTGTCAGTTATTATTTCTCCTCTTTCATTTCTGATTTTGTATATTTGGGTTCTCTCTCTTTGTTTCTTGGTGAGTGTAGCTAGCAGTCCATCAATCTTGTTTATCTTTTCAAAGAACAAGCTCTTTGTTTCATTGATCCTTTGAATTATTTATTTATTTATTTTTGGTCTCCATGTCATTTATTTCTGCTCTGATCTTTACTATTTCCTTCCTTCTATTGCTCTGGGGTTTTCTTTCTGTTTGCTTTCTAGTTCTTTAAGTTGTGAGGTTAAAGAGTCAATTAAAAATTTTTCTTGTTTCTTGATGTAGGCCTGTAGTGCTATGAACTTCCCTCTCAGAACTGCTTTTGCTGCATCCCATAGATTTTGTGTTGTTATGTGTTCATTTTCATTGGTTTCCAGAAAGTTTTTAATTTCTTCCTTGATTTCCTTGGTGACCTATTCGTTGTTTAATAACATGCTATTTAGCCTCCATGTGTTGAAATGTCTTTGCATGTTCTTGTTGCAATTGATTTCTAGTTTCATGCCATTGTGATCTGAGAAGATGCTTGATATGATTTCAATCTTCTCGAACTTGTAGAGATTTAGTTTGTGTCCTATCATGTGGTCTATCTTTGAGAATGTCCCATGTGCACTTGAGAAGAATGTGAATTCTGTAGTTTTGAGGTGTAATTCTCTGTAGA